GGAAGAGACTTGCCCCCGAGCGTGACCCACTTGGAGCAGAGCAGCCAAGGACATGGCAGCCAGGCAGCGTGGACAAGACTCTGCCTCACACCCCATCACCCACAGTTGATGCTGTGGGACGCGGGCAGAGGGCGTGGCCACCATTGGCGGTGCTGAGCTGCCTGGGCGATCTGCGGTGGGCCCTGGAGGCGGTGAGTGGCCCTGTGGGCGGGCAGGGCAGGGGATGGGGTAGGGGTGGGGCAGGGGCAGGGCAGGGGATGGAGCGGGAGCAGTTTTTGGGCACTTGGTCTCTAAAAGGTTCGCCATCACTGTCTTAGAAGGTCATTGTTTTGTTGCTTCTAAGAACCATTGGACAGGGATTCATGTAGACCTTTTTATACTGGAGTAGCCAAATTCCATGCTTGTGAGTTTAACAATTCTTTTTGACTAGCACGTCAAGACCTACCAGCCAACCAAGCCCCAGTGCAAAACACCCTTAAAAATGAGGCAAATACTTTCTTTTGTATACTGGAGCTGAATGTAAACCACGGTCCTCCCACCCCAAAATCTGTTCCGAATTACCGTAATGTTTCTTAATTGGAGTGCAAAGGCGAGAAATAGATTGCTATTATTTTTTGTTAATTACCTGGGATTAAGAAATCCTTGCAGCCCGGAGAGATTCTTTTACAGGTTCCATAATGCTTACTTGGGCCCAGACATCTTCAGATAGTCTATATGTGCTCGCCCACTCTTTTCTTTTTCCTGCCAGGTTGAGGGCAGAGTTTTGGGTTTGGTTTTTTTTTTCCTTCCTGGAAAATTCACTCCATGGTGCTTCATATTTTCCTATGTTTATCTTAGGAAAGCATATACTGTTTGCTTTCTTGCAAAACATGATAAAACAATGAAAACAGGCAGTCTTCATTTTCAGCTGTCTGAGTTTTTCCACCTTCATTCTTTTATTAACTAACTACAGAAAACAAAGGAAAAGAAGACACACAATGATAAAAGTTAAAAAAACATTCGAAGCACATGCATATATAAAGTTGTTTATTACACATTTCAATGAATGGAGACCATAATTCTAATGGTTAATGGATAATCCACATTGATAAGTTATTGATAAATAAATTGCTGGTGACATCAATTCTGCAGACCACTGATTAATTGGAGCCACATGTTTGTCTTTCCACTATTGAACATTAAGTCATTTAGCTGTAAGTAAACTACAAAAAATCCACTTTCTTTGTCCAGATGTCAATGTCCATGCCATAGGAATAAAGTTCCAAAAATATGAATATCTGAAAATACTAAATCTTAAAGTTGAGTTAATGCATATAATAATTTCTATCCTAAATGGAACCGTTTTTGGATGCCATAGAAACATGTGTCTAAATAAAGCATTAATTTCATTGCATCTCCAGCAACAAAAGCATTTACCCAGGGTTCTTCCATATAAAGAGAACCAAGTTGGTATCATGATTAAAGCACCAGGCTCGGAACTAGTGGAACTCTGGTTCCACCTTAGACATGAAACTATGACATTGGGCCAGCCACTTTCTCTCAGCCCTAGGAAAAAGATAATGGCAAACCACTTTCTAAATTTTGCCAAGTAAACTGCAGACACCAGTCCAGGCAGATATATATATATATATATATATTGAGCACCAAGGTAGTAAAAACTATAAAAGTTTAATTTAAAAACGCCAAGCTTTCACCGTCACCTGCCGGCATCATCAGGGCTTAAAACGCCAGAGAGTGAGAGAGTCTCTTATAAGCAAGCCAGAGTCTGCGCCCGGCTCCTTGATCTCGTTACCGGACGGGCGCAGACTCTGGCTTGCTTATAAGAGACTCTCTCACTCTCTGGCGTTTTAAGCCCTGATGATGCCGGCAGGTGACGGCGAAAGCTTGGCGTTTTTAAATTAAACTTTTATAGTTTTTACTACCTTGGTGCTCATTTTATGTTAAACATGAATATTCCCAGGTTCATATTTTTAATATTATCACTCATATATGTATGTATGTATGTATGTATGTATGTCTTTGGTTATTTGGGTTTTCTCCCGCGTAAAATTGGAAGTGTCTTGGCGATGTTTTGACGAAGTCCCATTCGTCATCTTCAGGCTGGTGTTTTCAGCTTCGTGCTCCTTGAAGCACAAAGCTGAAAACACCAGCCTGAAGATGACGAAGGGACTTCGTCAAAACGTCGCCAAGACACTTCCAATTTTACGTGGGAGAAAACCCGAATAACCAAAGACCTACATACAAACACCCGCGAAAACCTCAGAATATATATATATATTTACACACACACACACACACACACACACACATACATACACATACATACATACACATATACATATATAAAAAGTCATAATAAGTGCAATGAAGTCATTTTTTAAATATTATTTCTTGTTGAAAAATATATAATCTGAAATATATTTGGTTGTTTTAATGTTAAAAAATCAGCTGTTGTGTGTTAGGATTATAGAGTACTGTAAAGCACCGTGGATGGTATTTATGTCTAAGTGCTATTGCTATTAAACAACGGGGAAGGTTAATAGGTGGGAATGGATTTAAACTTGCAGATTTGTTGTAATACCAGTACTAATGATAGTTTGAGAAGCTAAGCAAGTTTAGATCTCATAGTACTTTGATGGGAAACCGACCAGAAGTACCAGGGTGGTAACTTAGACTGGGAAACAAAATAAAATGTTAAAAATCCTAGAGGAAGGCAGTAGCAAATAGCTTCCCAACTTTTCCCAAGAAAGCAATATGGATATGTCAGTGAAATCAGCAGGAGCTGAACTTGACTTAAAGCAGATTGCAGCTTTTTACCTGACAGGTAGGCAAAAATTTAGGAGTTATATTCATAGGGAACAGGAAGATCTAACTCTTTGGTTGCATTCACTGATCAGGTTAACTCATAACATGATTTTGTTTAATATACTGATCATTATCAAGCTGTTATGGATCATTCAATATTATATCACAATTTAGCATGAAAGAGAAATTAGATCTTTTCTCTGTTAAACCCAACAAAAATGTCTCATAGAAGCTTTTCTTTGAATTGTGTGAGACACTCCCTTTGGCCTTAATTCATTTTTACTTCACAGGGGAAATAATAGTTTCAGAACATATTTTTCTGTGGAAGAGGGATGGGCAGAGTTCATGCATCCCACCAAGCCATAATCTGTTTTATTTGGGATTAAGGTATTATGTGAATGTAGACGTTGTAGATTGTAAAGCAGTTAGGGTCATTTGCAATATGCTCAAACCATGGGGAATGAGTAACAGCTTAGCATATGGTGTGAAATTAGCTAGAAAGATAAATTTCTTCTTCCTTCTTGTCACCCACAGTGCCCAAATCTCCCCACATACTCCTACTTACTAAAAATGCAAATATAATCACGACTCATAAGAATGAGCAATGAAATGTAACTAAGAAGAAATCAACGTCTGATGAGCAGGAAATTGTAGGATGCAGTTCAACCCAATTGTCACTCAGTATCTTCATCCTGGTAGAAAGTCTGCCTACTTCTGTGTTTGTTTCACCATCTCAACTAGGTGGTTCCATGTGGCTCATGGACAAGGGGTTAGTGTGATGGGACATGCCTGACCTGCTTACTTGTTACCCTATAGTTCAGACATGTCAAACACAAGGGCCGGATGCAGCCCGCAAAGTTGTTTCATGTGGCCCGCGAAGCCATCCTGGAACAGTGAGGGAACGGCCCCTGCTGCCTTGGCCCTGGCACAGGCCGGCCGGGAGCCAATGTACAATTTTATGGTGGCCATCTATGCTGAAATTCATTCAGTCTTATCTCCACAAGGCCGTCTGGAAACAACGAGGAACCAGCCCCTGCTGCATTGGCCCCGCCCCCTGGGTGCATGCTGGGGAGATGTCACCCTTTGTGAGGAATGAAGAAATGCACCATCCCTGGAAGTGGCCAGCAAATGGTCCTTGCCTATTTCACATATCCAGCTTGATGGGTTCTGCCCTGGTCCCGCTCCTTTCTGCCAGAGACCCTCAGATCTGTCCCACTCCTGCCCAGGCCCCCACAGGCACTCTTGAAGCGAATGATGTAGACTTGGCCATGCCCACCCAGTAGGCCACACCAACTCCATCCACGCCCACCCAGTAGGCCATACCCACCCTGGCCACACACCCCTGCCCCCCCCAGGGCAATCTCAATGCTGATGCGGCCCTCGATGAAATTGAGTTTGACACCCCTGCTCTAGTTTAACTCAAGTTGTTGATCTTTAACAGAAAAGGACAGTACATTTTAAGAAGTAATGCTTTGAGAACTGTGGGATGAAGCTCTATTATAGCCCCTCCAAATCTGGTGAAGGGGGAATGGATGCTGTAATTCAATGTATTTAGCAGGGATTTGATTGGGAAAGGATGTTGTGCTTAGGGAATGGTCCAGTTTGTGAACCATTTTCCTTGGGAGTTTTCCCAGCCTCCAACTTTCTTGGAATTTTTCTGGAGAGTAAAGACTTTCTGGTCAAAGTAAGGTATCTTTTTAATTTTTACTTTGATGTAGTTCTAATTAGGGTTTGTTAAATTGTTTTGCCTTTTAAGAGTCCTACTTTTTCTTGATGCATTTGCTTTTAAACAGATTTTTTTTTTTAAAAAAAAAAAGTGTTTTGGTTTTGTTCTTGTTTGATTCCAGTGCCTTGTGATTTATATTTGGCTCTAAACCGTTTGCAGAGTGTCTGTGAGAAGTATGGTAATTGCTGGCTAATTCCATGATATAGTTGAGCTAGGAAATCTCAAGAGAGCCATCATATCAGTCTTTATGATCAACTGATATTTCAGTTGTGCAAACTAATGCTATAAAGTCATTATTGTGCTTTTCAATTTAGAAAGTTAACCATCTAGAGAATTTTATTTCTAGAGGACTTTTTTTTCTCACTTACATTGGCTTTATTCCAGGCTTCTCCTCTTTGAATGTATAAGAACAGACTGCACGAGAATTGGTTTTAATAAACTGTCTATCTCAATTCTGTTTCCTTTCTAGGTCCCGTTCAGCCCCACCGACTCCTGGTCAAAAGTCTCTCTTCAGAACCCAGCCCTGAACATCGCTCACCAGAAGCCCCCCAACGACTCATCTCAGATCCAGGACCTGACCACAACGAAGAAGAAATTGCCAAACTCCGACCACTCAAGCGTCCCCCAGGACCAAAACCACAAGGTATAAATAGAGCTTCCCCAACCGGTCCCCATAAGTCTGTTGTCTTTGGCATGCTAGCTTTGAATTGTGGGAGCTGAGATCAAATGCATCCAAAACATATTAGGGTTGAGACGGTTTCCCTACTTCCTACTTGAGCCCATGATTAAGATGCTTCTTATGGAATTTGCCGTGCATGCTGCTAGAGAAGAAAGCTGGCTGGGTTTTTTTTTTTTGGTTTTTTTTAATATTTTTTTATTTTTCCAAACTCTCCCCCATACATATATCGTAATATTTATCAGATGTTAACATACATTCTTTTTACATTCATATACAAGATACTTTTAATAAAATGAAATAAATACATACACATGACTTTTGGTGTTGCTCGCCCATTTCCCCTTTCACCGTATCCACACTCCTTCTTCTTTACCTTCTTTCTCCCTTTCTTCTCTTCCCTACTTCCCTCTTCTTCCTCTCCTCTCCTTCACCACTCTCCTCCCCTTTCTCCCCACTTCTCCTCTTCTCCTCCAGCCTTCCTACTTCCTTCTCCCCTCCTTTACTCTTTTCTCTCTCCTCTCCTTTCTTCCCTCTCATCCCTCTTCAGATACAATTCAGGGGTAATGTCCGAGCAACTCCTCTCTCCAAATTTCCCTATCTGTATTATATACAATAAGATTAATACTTCTATTTATCTAACCTTCTCGGTATATACTTCTATAAACATTTATACAACCTCCAGTTATTCAATACTGTGTCGCCTGGGTCTCCCTCCTTATCTGCTCCTTCTGAAGAAAGCTGGCTGTTGATGCCTTTCTAGTTATGGACTCTAGAGTCCAGAATTCACCCACCACATTTGAGGTTGCAGTGCAAGGCTCCTCCTGCAAGGCTTCGCCCAGGCCTGCAGGAGGTCTTAAGGATTTCTGCTAAGCAGTAACCTTTAGCATGATGATCAAAGGGGGAAAATTAATTACAAGATACAGGAGGGCAAATGTTCATAGTTGCATTGAACAAATTTATTTTAATTAAAATTACACATAAGTTAATTTCGATCAAATTGAATGTTTACTCTGATTTCATCCCATTTCGTTCTCCGGGACTCACTTTCTTTTTGGAATGCAGTCCCTGGCATCCCAATGAAAGGTCAGCTGAAGCCCTTGGCTGCTTGAATTTGCATATCCTTCTAGAGCAGGGGTAGGCAACCTTGGCTCTTTTATGACTCGTGGACTTCAACTCCCAGAATTCCTGAGTCAGCAATTCTGGGAGTTGAAGTCCACAAGTCATAAAAGAGCCAAGGTTGCCTACTCCTGTTCTGGAGCATGGGTGTCAAACTCGATCACCTCATGTAATATATCGTGACGTATCATGACATTTTTTCCCTTTATGGAGCCAGGGTGGACATGGCCTGTGCGTGATGCATCCAGCCCAAGGCCGCCAGCAACACTTTTCCAACCAGCATTGATATAAAAAGCTGCTTATGTTAAAATCTAACTTGGGGTACATGCTGGACCTTTTCAATATAATGGAGTTCAGAGTCCAAGCTCTTTGCTCTGGAACAGGGGAGTTAGAAGTAGTTTCAGTGCTGGGGTGGGATGCGCAGCGTGGATGAGATGATAAAAAATGCCAATTTACAGAAGCAGTCCTTTTGTTGGTTGCTTCAGTTAGTAAAATGTGTTGAGTCTGTTTTAAAAGAACAAGTCCACTTCCTTTTCCAGTTCCTCCCAAGCCAGCTTATCTGCAGAATAGCCAGCCCCCACGGTTTCCTGAATCGATCCCCCCGCCGCCATCACGACCCCTCCCAGCCGACCCCCGCCTGGGCCGCAGCCCTCTGCCAAAAGATGGAGTGGGCTACTCATCTGCCGTCTCCTGCCTCATTGAGAAGTTTGAAAGGTACGTGCTTGACTAGCATGTGAGACCCAGTTTCTCATCTGTAGCTGAGTTGGAGGAGACACACGCACACGCACACACCTAATTGTAGAGGAAGCATGATTTGTACTCTTGAAGATGTAAAGTAGCACCGCTTGTCATCATTAATTAATGGAAGGTTTCTACTGGCTTGGGGATATATTGAAATGATAACTAGCACAAAGCCCTTTGTTAAAGGACAGAGAAAACAATAAAGGTTAATTCTACTCAAGATTGGTTAGATATAATACCCGTATTGAAGGCACTTGGAGGCGTTGCCCATGGTATAATTCAGAAAAAGATTTTAAACTTCTGTGTTCTTCCCAGTCTTGAATAGAGCTGTCATCCATGTATTTAAATGGTTCTCTTGGCTGGCTTTCTTTTTTTGATTCATCTACCAATTCTTTTATGATGGTGGATTGTGTGATTCTGCTCTCCTTGGCATCATATGAACAGCCAGGTTCATGCTGAGATAGTTCGGGGTGTATGGGAGGTTGCAATAGCAGCTTGAAGGAAAACACTGCGTTCTACCACGTTTGAGGTGTCCTGAGTTTGTGTGAGAAAGATCTGGAGTATGATAACCTTGATTTTAGGTTAGATTGTTATGGATGATACAATGATACCACACATGTTAGGCTTTTGGCTGTTGTGTCAGAAGATTTTTTTTAAAAAAGGTAGATGAATAGTTGGCCTAATCATGTGTGCAAATACATATTCTATTTTTAGACCAATGCTGTTAGTACAGGTAGTCCTCAACTTACAACTGTTCATTTAGAGACCGTTCAAAGTTATAACAGCACTGAAAAAAGTGACTTATGACTGTTTTTCACGCTTAGCAACTGTTGCGGCATCCTCATGGTCACATGATCAAACTTCAGACACTTGGCCAGTGGTTCATATCTATGACGGTTGCAGTGTCCCAAGGTCACGTGATCCACTTTTGCGACCTTCTGATAAGCAAAGTCAGTGGGGGAAGCCAGATTCACTCAATAACCATGTCACTAATATAACAACTGCAGTGATTCACTAAACAACTGTGGCAAGAAAAGTAGTCAAACGGGTCAAAACTCACTTCAATTTTGGGCTCAATTGTGGTCGTAACTTGAGGACTACCTGTACGTTGGGCATGAATTCACTAGAAGATTCTACTGACTTTTTGAGGAGAGGTGGAACCCTAGCAAATCTTGCCTGTGTTGGTACTTCATTCAGCATCTGTTCTTCATTTCCTCCTTGGCTTTCCAACTGTGTGGTTGTGTTTCTCTTAGGGAACCTATAATCCTGACGTCTGAACAGACTCCCTCGCCGTGTCCCAGCCCAGACCTCCAAGCCCTAGAGATAAATTCTATGGAACCCTCGCTTGATCGTCCAGCTTCCTTGGAATCGGCAGAGCTGTCTCACAAGCTCCTGGACCTCCTGGCATTGGAAGGAGGGCAAGCGGCTGCAGGAAATGCCGTCTGCTTGCCGCCTCACGATGGTGGGAAACTGGCAAACCGGGACAGCGGCATTGATAGCATCAGTTCACCATCGAACAGTGAGGAGATTTGCTTTGGGCCTGAGGAAGGTACAGGGGAGGGTGCCGGACCGCTGGCACCTCCAAGCATCATCAAACGCAGCTCAACTCGTGATTCTGAGGGGGACAGTGACATGGATGATGGCAGTGGGGATGAGGCTGAGCTGCTCTCTGACCTTCCACCTCCACAGACAGAGAAGCTGGATTCTGATGAGGTAAAGGGCTGGGATTCCTATCCCAGGTTTACTAGGATAGCCTTTTCTCCAATGCTTCCTCCTGAGCCTGTATTTTTGTCTCCTGCTTCATATGATATTTTTGATAATGCTTTGGTATTAGACCCTAGTAAAAAAAATAATAATGGAGGAGTCACCTGTTAAAAGAAATAGCAAGTCTCTGCTCTGTGTTGTAGGGGTGACTAGTGGATGTTCTGGCTTGTGTCACTTCTTGATCAGGTAGGCTCAGTTTCTGAGGGCAGACTCAGATGGCCCAATATGTACCTATAGTAGATGTCAGGCTCCCAAAACCAAAGAAAGTTACCTAGTGATTCTTCCAAGCGGATTTTTGTTTTGTTTTGTTTTACAACTATAGACAGAATCTTGCCAAACTGAAGCAAACTGCTAACTACATGAAGCATATACTCTGGAAATTTTTAGGGAGGAGATGTCTTCCCTCTCTTTATATCGCACAAACTATCTGAACAGAGTTGTCTCTTACTCCTCTGGAATATACCTTCACCCTCCTGGGAATCTGGCTCATTACATTCCTTCATATCAGGTCCACATCATCTGTTCCTCATCATGTTTCTCTTAATCAAAAACAAATTAGATGGCATGCTGAAAACTCCTCTAAGACCTTTGTGTACAACAGTGTTTCAGGCCTCATGTAAATCCCAGGGGTATTCTTAGGAAACAGAAAAGGAAAAGTGATGGATTGTTGCAGCTTCATCATTTTTTTAGTGTCCCCTTCCCCAAATAAAGGAAACTGTAGTGAACATTCTGGGAATGGGGCATAATGGTTAGAATAAATGAATAAATGGATGGAAACTAATCAAGGAGAGAAGCAACCTAGAACTAAGGAGAAACTTCCTGACAGTTAGAACAATTAACCAGTGGAACAACCTGCCTCCAGAAGTGGTGAATGCTCCAACTCTGGAACTTTTTAAGAAGAGACTGGGCGGCCATTTGTCCGAAATGGTATAGGGTTTCCTGCCTGAGCAGTGGGTTGGACTTGATAACCTCCAAGGTCCCTTCTAACTTTTTAAATTATTTTTATTATGATGATGATGATGATTATGATGATGATGATGTGTAACCTCACCAATTTGGCCTTCTGATATATGAAGCCTTTCTAGGAATAGGGAAGTCCTCCCACAGCAGCCATTTTTAGAAGTTTGCTCACAACCCACTCACACAATTCCCATGGCATCCCTGGCTTCAAGAGATTGCCTGCTATTGGTTTATATTCACTCACAGATTATAAAAGTGTGTATAATCCATTTTGGTGCCTGTGAGAACTGAATGAAAGGATGAGTACAGCATATTTTTGTACAACCATTGTTTACTTGTAATAATTGGAAAGCTGCTTGAATGCAAGGGGCAAAGAAATAGCTGAGAAATGGAGAAAATCCCATGGTTGGTTTTCTTAGTACAACCTAATATATGAAAAAGAAATTGGAATTTAGTTCATTCCCCATAGCCGAGTGGCTTTCAGTTGATCTTTTTCTCTTTCTCAAAAGATGACGGTTCCACAGAAAGTCTTCCGAATTGCCAACGAACTTCTCCGAACAGAAAAAGCATATGTATCTCGCCTGTATCTATTGGACCAGGTAATAAGAGTGATGTCTAGTATCCAAAACTACTAGAGCATGTGCAGTTTTTAAATGGAAACTTGAGGCAAGCACAGCATCATTTCTGCAAGTCATGCCAGTTGAGGAAATTAGCAAGATGGGTAATACTGCAGGAACTGTGGGCTGCCCCCTTCTCTCTCCATAAGATTCCATCTTACGCGCTGTTAAGAAGTGGGGTAGGGTTTGAGTAGGCCTCTGCCAATCACTGATTTTGCAGAAAGTCGCCAAGAGGGAGGGCAGATTATTTTAAGTGTGCCCTGTCTCATAGGTCTTCTGTGCCCGTCTGATGGAGGAAGCACGCTGCCGAAACTCTTTCCCAGCTGATGTGGTGATGGGCATTTTTTCCAACATCTGTTCCATCTACTGTTTCCACCAGCAGTTCCTGCTCCCAGAATTAGAGAAACGGATGGAAGAATGGTGAGGATTGGGCTAGCGTGTGTGTGTGTGTGTGTGTGTGTGTGTGTGTGTGTGTATAGCAGTATTGTTCTGGTTTTCTTCATATGTCTATATTGATTTATTTTTCGTAACATGCCCTTGAGGTAAAAATTTTACCTGCTTTAAAAGAATTCCAACAGTTTGCCAAAAGAGGTATTGCATTATATTTGGGGGGGGAAAGGAGGTGTGTTTGTAACTAAAGTGTGTTTTCTTCAGTTATTTGAGTGATCTTAGATTGCTAATATGAAATATCCTGTATGATTCAATCGAGGCTTCTATATGAGGACTTCTTGGCAGCTCCACACTTCCGTGAGCTTGCCGCATCAGCTGTTTTTCAAGAACTTGGCCATTTATTTCTGGCTCAAGTGTGGTATATTTGAAGCCAATGTAAAACTTGTCTTTCTTCGAAATGAGGTACCTCTGTGGAACTTGTGAGCAGTCTTGATTTTCACAACAAACCCCCATGTTGGTATTACAAATTCGGTAGAAAAGGATAGTCTCTTGATCATTTTCAAACTACTTTTGAGTAGAAATGTGTAAATTCCTGTATAGGTAAAAAAGACCTCAGAGGTCATTTAATCCAGCTTCTTGCTCAGTGCAGCACCTGTAATATAAGATCCCTGAAATGACCATCTAGACTTAGCAGAAAAGAATTTACCATCTCCCAAGACAAGTTGTTCCAGATATTTCAGTTCCTTTATTTCATTGTGTGTAGAGTGAGGCTCTCAAGTATTCTCTTGTCTCCTGCCCCTCATCTGCCAGCACCAGCACTGCCTTGTCTTTTTCTAAGGTATTAAATTGTTGAGCTTGATGCTTCCTGACTTTGTCTTCTTTTTGAATGTTTATGCTTCACCTCCTTTGCCTTTTGTGACAATTCCTGCTTTATCTAGATAGCTCATCTTTTTCAACTTAGTATCCTCCAGCAATTTCCAAAATAACCTGCCAGTATGTAATCCATGGTCAACCGTCTTGTATCGCAGAGACATAACTTAGAACTGATCATCTCTAAATCTTCATTTTTGGTGGTTCTTAAATGTAACCTGTTGTGGATTCACAAGTTATATTTGCTGTGGAACTTTCTGCCGTCTTTCACTGTTGTTCAATTCCTTCTATTAATGTAGGCGGCTGAAATAGATACCGATAATGCCATAGGTCAGGGGTGTCAAACTCAATTTCATTGACGGCCGCATCAGCATTGCGGTTGCCCTCGGGGGGGGGAGTGGTTGTGGCCAGGGTGGGTGCGGCCTACTGAGTGGGCGTGGATGGAGTGGGTATGGCCTACTGGTGGGCTTGGCCAGCTCTGTATTGTTCGGATCAATGGTGCCTGTGGGGGCCTGGGCAAGAGTGGGACAGATCTGAGGGTCTCTGGCAGAAGGGGGTGGGACCAGGACCACTTCCAGGTGATGATGCATTTCTTCATTCCTCACAAAGATGACACCTCCCCAGCATGCACCCAGTGGGCGGGGCCGACACGGCAGGGGCTGGTTCCTCGCTGTTTCCAGACAGCCCTGTGGAGCTAAGCCTGAATGTGTTTCAGCATAGATGGCCACCACAAAATTGTACATTGGTTCCCTCCCAGCCAGCCAGGGCCAAGGCAGCGGGAGCAGTTCCCGCACTGTTTCCAGGATGGCTTTGTGGGCCACATGAAACCACTTCACGGGCCACATCCGGCCCCCGGGCCTTGTGTTTAACATGTCTACCATAGGTACTACAGCAGTGCTGCAGCAGAGGAAATAAAAGCTGTATGATAATATGCTTGTGTGGGGTTTGGAGCAGAGTCACCTGAGGCCAGAAAAGATCTGTCCCCTGATTCATATTAAATAAGAGAATAAAAGAAATAACAGAGTTGGCTATACTTGTCCAGTTCTGGGATCCTGACTTGTCACTCCTTTCAGAAAACAGGATTGTAATTTTACCCCAAAATAAAAAGTAAACCAAATCAAAACTGTTTTTTGCTCCTGAAGAAGTGAGCTGGGTACCAGATTAGGTGATATGCTAAAGAAGCCATTCCTGGTTAGCTTTGCTTCTTATTCTAAGTATAATTGAGTGGGTACAAAAAGGTGTAGTAATAATAATGCTCATTTGCAATAATCCAGGCTCTCTAGTGTACAGGTACAGTACTGCTTTATTTACCCATGTAGATGCAACCGTAACTTTTAATCCAACATTTTCCAAACATGGCATCTTAATGTTGTGTGGACTTCAACTCCCAGAACATTGTGGAATTCTGGGAGTTGAAGTCCACACATCTGAAATCTGCCATGTTTGAATAATTAAATACTTAAGTCATCTTTACCCTAATCCAGGAATTGCAGAAATTAAAAAAGATGTCTGATCCAAGTCTTCCAAATGTTTCCCTTTTTCTTAAATACTTCCCAGAGAGTCGTAGGTCTCTGTAAATCTGCAAATCTAAAGCTTAACTGAAATGTTCATTTTTTGTTTTCTTATTTTTGTGATGTGTTTACCATGGTCCCAATGTTTTGAAAGACTTCTTCCCCCAGGATATACCTGTCTCCCTTTTAGCATTTTGTAAACCTGTGAAAGCATCTTTATCTCATCATGGTTTTAGCTACAATTAATTGTGCATATTTATCTAGAGTAATGTGGTGGTTCTCTTTTTTTAAAAAAATAATTTCTTTAATTGTGGGGCAGGTCACAAATATTATAATAAAAAGAAGGCTTTCATCTTTATTTTTTTTAGATCAGAAGGCTTGAGAATTATGAATCTCCCTAATGTTAGTATTCTTGAGTTCTAATGAACAATTATTTACTGTAACTTACTTTCCAGTTAAATTTGTAGTCAAATTCTCCCTTTGATGGGAAAAGTACTGAACAAAGTCATTTGTAGAGTTCTACACAAGACACTAAACCGTGGTTTCACAAACCAGAATGATTTAATTAGTTACACTGCACAATAGGAAATCAGTGTATTTTAGCTGGTATTTTATGTGCAACAGAACCTGTGAGGGAAGAATCTCCTCTCAGCCTTGGTTCTATGTTTCTTTTCCCTTCCTATATCTCATTATTTCTGTTTTTCCCAGGGACCAACACCCACGAATTGGGGATATCCTGCAAAAGCTGGCTCCCTTTCTCAAGATGTATGGCGAGTATGTGAAGAATTTCGACCGTGCCATGGAACTGGTAAACACCTGGATGGAGCGCTCAACACAGTTCAAGGGCATTATCCATGAAATACAGGTTGGTCACCTGCGTTTTCGTTTAAACTGTTTAGACTTTGTTGCAACAATATGCCTCTCCTTCCTTCCCCCTCCCCAACCCCCTCTCCCCCAGCAAAATCTACTAGCTGAAGCAATCTAGGGAATGGACACAATCCCGTTCCCATTTTAACGTGGCACCTACTGAATATTGAAAGAATATTATATGCTGAGGAGTAACTTTGCTTGATTTATGTGCCCCTAAAGAAAAGAAGCAAAACTTGGTGGGATGAGTGGGGGATTATTTCACTACATCCATCTTCCTCCGAGTAGTATACAGCATAAATAAGGAAGGTGCATTGGGAAGTCATTGCTTAGCAATGAGGATTGGACAGAACAGTCCAGATTTCTTTTTGTGGCCCAAGATCCAGACAAACTCTGTGCCTACGGAGGATTTATTGGGAAAGGGCAAATCCTCATGGATCTCCTGGGATGTTTGACTCACTCTTGCGAATGCTGCCTTTAGTTCCCTGGGTCTCAGTTCCCTGCAAGGGCAGGCATTTTGCCCTTGGAGAACTGCCAGGCAGACAGTTCTCTTGAGACCACTCTCTGTTGCAGCGGGAAGAGCTATGTGGGAACCTGACCCTGCAGCATCACATGCTGGAACCGGTCCAGAGAATCCCTCGCTACGAGCTGCTTCTGAAGGACTATCTCCTGAAACTGCCCCAGGACTCGCCTGACTGCAAGGATGCCCAAAGTGAGTGCAGCTCTCAGGGGATAGTAAAGAGAAGGATAGGGCAGTGGGTAAGGCAGTATCTTAGTCACAGCAAGCACGGTAGGGGAAATAGAATGCGACATAAATGCATTATTGGCTCCTGGGTCATTAGGAGCTATTTCTTGCCCCCCCCATAACCATTTGGATCTCCTGGGTCAGTCAGTAACATCTGAAAGAAGTGACAGACCAAGGCAAGCCAGGTTCAGAATTCATTATACTCAAACAGTGGTCAGTTGGCTAGCCACAATGGCAGCTCTCCACTCCATTGGGACTCTGCAATGTGGTGAGCGTCAGGCTGCTTTCTGGATCCACAAAAGGTACCCCTTCTTTCTCCCCCTTCCAATTAAATTAATTCCATTTCAAGAAATCTTACGTTTACAAAGCTTATGAGAGTTGGGTTGTGTTTTTTTTAAATGCCTCCGTTGTTAAGTGAATCACTGCCGTTGATAAGTTAGTGACATGGTTGTTAAGTGAATCTGGCTTCCCCATTGACTTTGCTTGTCAGAAGGACGTGAAATGGGATCCCCTGACTTTGGGACACAGCAACCGTCGTAAATATGAACTAGATGACAAGCGTCTGTATTTTGATCACATGATCGTGGGGATGTTGCAAAGGTCGTAACTGAAATATGGTCATAAGTCGCTTTTTTCAGTGGCCTTGTAACTTTGAACGGTCACTCAATGAACTGTTGTAAGTCAAGAACTACCTGTACTAACCTAGCCATCCATCCTAGTTGTCAGCCTGCTTGAGAGGAATCTTTCAGATCCCACTATGCATGCCTTTTGCTTGAAAAATGGTTATAAACTGAGGTATACTGTAGTCTGTTTCTGCTTTAATTGGAGCTTCTCTGTGGAGTAAGGCCAATAAAGTAATGTTGATTCTCTCTTTTTTTTTTTTTTTTTACTCCTCCTCTTATATAGAATCCCTGGAACTTATTGCAACTGCTGCAGAACATTCAAATGCCGCCATCCGCAAAATGGTAAGAGTGAGCAGAATGATAGTTATCAAAGAGCACCTGCCTGGATTTTCCTTTCTTTAGAAGTAGGAGTGCATTGGGGAATGGATTCAAACTAGATCCTGAGGAGAGACTATACTTACGAATGGAGTTGACATTTCCTCAGATCTCTAGGCCCAGTTCAGGGGCAGTTTTAATTAAGTATGATGTTCATCACATCATTTCTCTTGGCCACATTGCTGCCTACTATGGAGAAGATCCTGGTGGATAGTAGGGGAAAAGCGTCAAGAAGGAGCTGGTGTTAAAGACTTCTAGCCAAGGCTATGGAGAAATGATGTTGGATATGGTGCTTGGCTAAATGAACAAAGGGTCTGATCTAACATGGAACAGTGTACTGTATTATGTTCTGTGTAATCAATTACACAGGCCTTCTGCCTCCATCTCCATCTATATACATACAGATCAACATCCATAGCAGGGACTTGTGTCTTTATCTTTTAGTACCCCAGAAAATGCTACTCTCGAATCCTCTCACTATTCTCATCCCTGCCTCTAAATAGACTCTGTTCCCAAGCCTCTTTACCTCCATACTAGTCAGTTCAATTTTTCGCATGGAAGGTTATTTCAGTAGCTTTTTAGAATCAAATTCCGTATACTGCTGGATATGGTTTGTTTTTATCAAGTCAGATGTCTTCCTGGCTCAATTTTGGCACTTATCTAAAATTTCAGCCAGATAATTTTTTCCTACATGTTCCTTTTTAAACTGGACAGGCTATAACTTAATCTGGGATAATCTGCATTCAACGCATGTTCTCTGTTTTCTCTTAGATAACAGAGTAATTATATGAGTGAGGTTGTAGTAGACATAGAAATGCCATAAACCAAGTCTCTTTCCTAAAATCTTTTGACTTCCCTTTTAGACCACTTTAAAACGGACCCTGACGTTAAACTGTACCATATTGGATTGTCCATTTGTTTTAATCGCTTTAGTCAACAGAAAAAAAAAATTGAAAAATGCAAAAAAAGAAACAAAAGCATCTTATGATGTACAATAAAAAGCTCCAGCATTAAATTTTGACAACACAGATTAATATTGATGAGTTTGTGGTGGAAAGAGCCAGTTTTAAGGATATAATCAATCCAAGGATGTAAATTTGGGGTCCAGTTCCATCATAAAAAATGCATCTTTATTGTTGTGCCCCATGTTTGGTAAATCCAGAGCTCCTCATGTCCTGATAATTTCCATATGTTTGGAATACAGTTCAAAATCACATTTTATTCTTCCCCAAACTATGTGTCCATGTTAGAGTCTGTTATAGCTTATTGCTTGAAAGTTTGCCATCTCAATTTTAAGACTAATAACACAACCAGCACTGAATATAAATATTCAGCTTGCTACCAAATATCCCTTACCTTTTGCTCCCAATGGACAGTTTTTAAATTGTAAGATCCTTCAGCACAAGAACTGCTTTTTTGCACAATCAGAATGGGTAATCTGGCCTTCAATTAGACAGGCAGAAAGTATGAAAAGTTTCTTGCATACAAGTAAAATAGAGCTTGACAGCTGCAGGCAGTGTTGAATTACAGAATTCTGGTCCCCTTGATCAAGATACTTATTATTTTTAGAAGACTCTGAGGAATGAGTTACTGGGAGTGAACCCAGGCTTCTTTAATAATAAAAAAAAATCCTTATAATCCAGACCCTGACAAACTGGTATATCAAGTAAGATGGATACTATGTCAATTATAATTAATAAAAAAAATCCTTTGAAAAGCACAAGTTGTTTTCTATGCGCTGTTTTCCATGAGTTCTTACCTATTGGGGCATGTCTTTAATTGTCGAGCTTGTCAGTTGGCAACCCAGGTTCAAGGGGATTAGCCATTTTGGATTTAATTCTCACTAACAGAGATGAAATGATAGACGGTGTTGAAGCCATAGGAACCCTGGGAGGAAGTGATCATGCAATATTAGAATTCAACATTATAGAAGCACAACCAATAGAACACAGTCAAACTAGAGTCTTGGACTTCAAGAGAGCTAATTTCAATAAACTTAGAGAGGGCTTGGGAAGGATTCCATGGATGAGAATCCTCAAGGGGAAAACAACTCAAGAAGCTTGGGAAATTTTGAAAAATGAGATAATAAAAGCACAGTCTAGCACAATACCAACAAAGAGGAAAAATAACAGCTCTCAAAAGAAACCAGCATGGCTGCATAAAGAACTCTCTGACAAATTGAAAGATAAAAAGGACAAGTATAAAAAGTGGAAAGAGGGGAACATAACTAAGTCAGAATATCAGCAAATAGCCCGAGCCTGCAAAGATGAAGTGAAGAAAGCCAAGGCTCAAAATGAACTAAGGCTTGCGACCAAAGTCAAAAATAACAAAAAAAGCTTCTTTCAACATGTAAAAAACAAGAAAAAAGTGAAGGAAATGATTGGTCCATTAGTGGGTGGAAGTGGCAAGAAGGTGACAAGCAACAGGGAGAAAGCAGAACTATTTAACTCATTTTTTGCATCTGTCTTTACACAAAGGGAAAAAACAGACCAACCTATCAAAAATAGTGCCATAAAAAACAAAACAGAAACACAAGTTAAGATAGGCAAGAAAATCGTTAGGGAGCACCTGTCCAGCCTAGATGAGTTCAAATCGCCAGGACCAGATGGATTACACCCCAGAGTTCTCAAGGAACTGGCAGATGTGATATCGGAGCCACTGAACTATATTTTTCAAAGATCCTGGAACACAGGGGAACTACCAGAGGACTGGAAAAGAGCTGATGTAGTTCCCATCCTCAAAAAAGGAAAAAAAATGGATCCAGGAAATTACAGACCTATCAGCCTGACCTCAATACCTGGGAAGATCCTGGAAAAGATAATCAAACAACGAATCAACGAACACCTAGAGGCAAACAAAGTCATTACTAAAAGCCAACATGGGTTTGTCAAAAATAGATCATGCCAGACAAATCTTATTGCATTCTTTGACCAAGTGACAAAATTAGTGGATCAGAGGAATGCTGTGGACATAATTTACTTGGACTTCAGTAAGGCATTTGATAAAGTAGATCACAACCTACTACTTGACAAGATAGAAAAATGTGGGGTAGACAGAACCACCACCAGATGGATCCGTAGCTGGCTGACCGGCCGTACTCAGCGAGTGGTCCTCAATGGAACTGCATCTATATGGAGGGAAGTGTGTAGTGGGGTGCCCCAGAGCTCTGTTCTGGGCCCAGTACTCTTCAACATCTTCATCAATGATTTGGATGAAGGGATAGATGGGGAAGTCATCAAATTTGCAGACGACACCAAGCTGGCAGGAATAGCCAACACTCCAGAAGACAGGCTTCAGATACAGAAGGATCTGGACAGACTTGAACACTGGGCACTAACTAACAAAATGAAATTCAATGGTGAAAAAAGCAAGGTTCTACATTTAGGCAAGAAAAACCAAATGCACAAGTACAGCATAGGTGGCACCATGCTCAATAGTAGTAACTGTGAGAGGGACCTCGGAGTCCTAGTAGACAATCCTTAAATATGAGCCAGCAGTGTGCTGCAGCTGCCAAAAAGGCCAACACAGTGCTAGGCTGCATTAACAGAGGGATAGAATCAAGATCACGTGAAGTATTAATACCACTCTTCAATGCCTTGGTAAGGCCACACTTGGAATACTGCATCCAGTTTTGGTCACCACGATGTAAAAAAGATGTTGAGACTCTAGAAAGAGTACAGAGAAGAGCAACAAAGATGATTAGGGGACTGGAGGCTAAAACATATAAGGAACGGTTGCTAGAATTGGGTATGTCTAGTTTAACGAAGAGAAGGACAAGGGGGGACATGATAGCAGTATTCCAATATCTCAGGGGCTGCCATAAAGAAGAGGGAATTAAGCTATTTTCCAAAGCACCTGAAGGCAGGACAAGAAGCAACGGGTGGAAACTAATCAAGGAGAGAAGCAACCTAGAACTAAGGAGAAACTTCCTGACAGTGAGAACAATTAATCAGTGGAACAGCTTGCCTCCAGAAGCAGTAAATGCTCCAACACTGGAAGTTTTTAAGAAGAGACTGGACAGCCATTTGTCCGAAATGGTGTAGGGTTTCCTGCCCGAGCAGGGGGTTGGACTAGATGACCTCCAAGGTCTCTTCCAACTTTACTACTATTATTATTATTAAGAGCTGAGCACCGTGCCAATGGAGTGAACTGCCCACCTAGCAGTTTGAAAGCATGCTAATCCAAGTAGATTAAGAGGTGCCACTTTGGTGGGAAAGTAACAGCATTTGGTGCGCCTTTGGCATATAGCCATGCTGGCCACATGACTACAGAAATTGTCTTTGGACAATGCTATTTCCTCGGCCAAGAAACGGAGATGAGCACCACACTAGATTCAGACACAACCAACGTGGAAACCTTTACCTCAGCCTATTACTTCCAGATTACCATTCATCTCAATGGCCAAGTTCTGTTTTGGATTTGGATTTCCTACCCAAGTTGCATAATGTGTCACAGGTGGGGAACCAGTTGGTCCTCCAGATGATCCAGAATTATAACTCTTAGTGGACCATGCCTGATCATTACGGACGTGAGGCTGGAAGGGAATTGTAGTTCAACAATACCTGGAAGGTTTCCCAAATTGTCCTTCATACTGTATTATTTCTTTCAACACAATAGAGTTATATGTAGCAACTTCAGAGACATATATGTAGCAACTTCAGAGACATGTTTTACTATACCTGGCTATACCTTTTCTTCTAGGAAAGAATGCACTCATTGTTGAAAGTGTATGAGCTGCTTGGAGGTGAGGAAGACATAGTCAATCCCACCAACGAACTCATCAAGGAAGGGCACATCCTGAAGCTTTCTGCTAAGAATGGTACCACCCAAGACCGCTACCTGATCTTGGTGAGAGGCAGTGTGGGACTCTCCACCCACAACTGTTAGTTTGGCTTAGGTGTTTAACTATCAATCTTGGAGAGTCAGGAAAGATCTCTGCTTCTTATTGCTATTTCTTTTCTTTTTTCGTCCAGTTCAACGACCGATTGCTTTACTGTGTGCCAAAACTGCGTCTCATAGGCCAGAAATTTGGAGTCCGTGCTCGCATAGATGTGGAAGGAATGGAGGTAAAGAAAGAAGAAGCAGTGGGAGAACTAGATAAATATTCACAAGTAAACCGTTTGACTCACCTTCACCTTTTGGAGTATGAATGGGGAAATATTAATTAGCACATGCAGTACAAAGGGAGGCAGAGGAGTGGATTCACTACTCCTTTTTAGTTCTACTAGGTCAGTGATGTCGAATCTTTTAGAGACCGAGTGCCCAAAAAACTGGCTCCGCCCCTGCTCCACCCCCCTGCCCCGCCCCGCCTGCCCACAGGACCACTCACCGCCTCCAGGGCCTGCCGCAGATCGCCCAGGCAGCCCAGCAGTGCTATAGCGGCCACATCCTCTGCCCGCGCGCGCCCTGCAGCATCAACTGCATGATAGGGTGTGAGGGCAGAGTCTTGTCTACACTGCCTGGCTGCCATGTCCTTGGCTGCGCTGATCGGTGTGGGCCACGCTCAAGGGCGACTCTCCTTCAGGGGGGCTGCTGGAGAGGAGGGGGCCACAGGGGGAGGCAAGGCTGGGGCAACGGCACATGTGCCCACAGAGAGGGCTCCGAGTGCCGCCTCTGGCACCCGTGCCATAGGTTCGCCACCACTGTACTAGGTTCTTGAATGGAAAAGAAATTCAGCCTCTTAAAAAATAATGGCCGAATGATTAGATAGCAGTAAAACACAACATAAAATAAAATGGGACAGAGTAACTTGGCTACATGTTTATTTTATTTTCTGATTCAAATAATGAGATTGTATTCTAAATTAGTATTTGAAGAAAATCTGAATGGTTTTCAGAACATTGTGGTTTAGTCAGCGCAGCCAGTGGTTGAAGTGCTGGACTGAACTTGAACCTCATGGAGGGCCCCATGGAGAACCTTGTCAGTCTCTATCTTTCAATTTAAGCTTTCTCACAAAGTTGCTTTTGTGAGACTAAAGGCAACTTATGTGCATTGCTCCAGGTTCCTTAGAGCAGTGGTTCTCAACCTTTTTAATGCCGCGACCCCCAACCGGTCGTAAGTTGAGGACTACTCAACCGGTCGTAAGTCAAGGACTACTCAACTGGTGCAGCATCGTTTGCAGAATGGACTTTTGGCGGGCTCAGCAGGGCAGAGACAGCCTGGACAATTCCTATTGGCTTTTGAAAGCCAATAAAATTAGACTCTATTCAAGAGAGTCTATTCTATTGGCTTTCAAAAGCCAATAGAATAAAAGGGAGTAGCACAGCTAAGAAAAAGGGGGAAAAAATGGCGGACTGCGCTGTTTGGCGACCCCCGTGAAATGGTCGTTCAACCCCAAATGGGGTCCCGACCCACAGGTTGAGAACCACTGCCTTAGAGGAAAGATGGGATAGAATGGCAAATAAATGAGAGATAAATATTTTAAGTAAATGAACTGATTGTGATTGTGGGAGCCAGTTTTTCAAAGCATGGCCACAAAGATGTAAAAGTTAGCTATCATGCGTTCAGATATGCATTTGGGAATGGTAGTTGCCTGTGGCAAGGCAGTTGAGGAAAGGTCAAGTTGCCTATGTGAACCAGCCTTGTGCCTTTTCTCTTCTATGCAGTTAAAAGAGACCAGCAGCCTCAATGTGCCTCGGACCTTCCTTGTATCAGGGAAGCAGCGATCCTTAGAGCTTCAGGCCAGGTACAGGTGGAAAACTTAAGTCTCTCCTATTTTCTTTTCTCAAAGTAAATGAATTGCCTTCTATTGAGCAACTCATCTTTGTGACTCAGTGATTCTCCTTTTCTGCTTCTTTTCCTTTGAATCCCATCAGTAGGAATTCCATAATTCTCACATCTTAGTTCTTCTTGCTCTTCCTTCATCATCACATCCCAAATCAGACTAATTGGTCAATCTTCCCACCAACAGAATACAACATGCATACATATATATCCCGTTACTGTATTCTTTTTTTTTTATTACTGCATGTTATTACTGCAGCTAAAATGCCTTGGGAAAACAATGATCTTTCTCTTTTAGGACTGAAGAAGAGAAAAGAGACTGGATCCAGGTAATTCAGTATTGCTGCTCAAGCTATATATATTGCTGTATTTGTTGTTACTTATTAAACAAATTTATATAGCTACCCAATTTATACATAGTGATTTATTTGTATGAACCAGTAAGAAAACAAAGGAAGAGTTCAGATACTGTTACAACTGTATCACCTCTCACAAAGTTCAAATCCATGTCTTTTTTTAAAAAATATATTTTATTAGATTTTATATGGGTAGGAAAAAGGTGGGGTCGGGGCGGGTACAGGGAAATCGGGATAAAGGGGACAGGGTGTGGATAGCTACAGTAAATACGTGATTCAGCGAACAAGCTGTCGTCCGGGTCTTCATATTGAGTATTATTGTTTATATAATACTAGACATTTATAAGAATAAATCGGTATAGTTACAACTGACTTTTGGTAAAACAGTAATATTCCTTTAAATAATTAACATAGTTGATAGCATAGCAACTATTTCCAATCATCAAGCTTAATACTTAATATAATAAAGCTCTAAAATCTCTTCTTATTCTAACGTGTTTCAACCCACTGTCTTTTAAACTTAGAAGAAGGGGAAGGAGATTTCTCTTAATTAGCAGATGATTGGGAAACATTCTAGATCAGTGGTTCTCAACCTGTGGGTCGGGACCCCATTTGGGGTCGAATGACCATTTCACGGGGGTCGCCAAACAAGGCTGTCCGCCATTTTTCCCCCCTTTTCTTTGGCCATGCCCCTAGCACCCAGTGATGTATAACTGGTTGGGGGTCACCACAACATGGGGAACTGTATTATGGGGTCACGGCATTAGAAAGGTTGAGAACCACTGTTCTAGATACACGTTTCTCCATTTCAACAATTTTAATGTATGTGAACTTCAATTTCCAGAATTTCCTAGCCAGCAGGTATGAAAGTCCACATACCTTAAAGTTGCAGAGGTTGAAAAACACTGTCTAGATTATTTTAGAGTGGATGAGTTTCTTAGGTCCAGCAGATATTGGGAGGGACATTTGATCAAAACGGGGGGTGGGATAATCCTGTCCCAAATTATTTTTTTGAAGATCTGTGGTGGCCCTGTGCAGACTACTTTCAAGCAATGCAGATTCAGAGCATTGGGCATGTATCCACAAAGATCATGTGCATTATCATGCACCTTAGTATGTGACAGACCTTGCATCTGCACCCATGTCTGTTCCCTTTCTTACAACAACAAGAAGAAGCCAGAATTAGAGACAAATGAGATATTGTTGCTTGCCTCATAAACCATGATATGCCAGACTCTGTGTACCTAGGAACTCATTAAACGTGGTTTTATCCTTGCTTCACTGAAAAGGGCTGGGCTTGTTTCTTTTCCCAGATCTGCTCTTTCCTTCCTCCTTCCATTTTGTAATCAAAGATATATCATTAAATCTATAGGCAATACAGGCTACAATTCAGAAACACGAACAGACGCTGGAAATGTTCAAGCAGCTTGCCAGTGAAGATGAAACGCCGCCTAATTCACCAGTGAGTCACAGTTGTATGTGTGTCAGGGAGAGCTAGAGTGAAAGAGAGAATGAGTATGCACCCAGATTTCTGGTAAAACAAGCAAAAATTTACTGATGCAGTGTGTCAGTGTATATGCCAAAGTGTCTCAGTGTCTTGTAAGAATGGCTGTAGCCAGTATGCAAATTAATTAAAAGGCAAAAAACTGCAACAATTCATTAGAATTATGTGAAAAGAAAAATGGCATTGTGCAATCTGGGTACCTTTCTGCTGATCAGCAAGACTTCTCTTAATTTTGCAAAACTAGTTTATTTATTTACAAATATTTATATGCCGCCCAATCCCAAAGGACTCAGGACGGCGTACAAAATTCTGTCTTTTCTTGGTTATTCCTCTGGGAGGAATAACCAAGAAAAAAGTGATAAAGTACAGGTAGTTCTTGACTTACAACAGTTTGCTTAGTGACTGTTTGAAGTTACAATGGCACTGAAAAAAGTACCCTGCAAGGCACCTGCCTACCCACCCAGCCACGCTCTTCCTCCTGCCGAGGTTTTCATTGTTGTGAGCATTTCTGTTGAGGACTGGCAGCAGGGGTGGGGTGGGGGGTGTTTGGTTTTTATTCCCCCCATCTGCTGGGTGTTTGCAGCAGGTTTTGTTCACTTCACATGACCCTGGGACACTGTGACCATCATAAATATGAATCAGTTGCCAAGCATCTGAATGTAAATCACAAGACCCTGGAGATGCTGCAACATTCCAGCTGATTGGCCCTTCTTCTGGGCTCAGCAGAAGCGCCAGGATCAGTGCTGTTTTCCAGCTGATTGGTGCTTCTTCAGGGCTCAGCAGAAGCACCAGGATCAGCGCCGAGATCCACTTGGAGCCTGGTGCTGATCCTGGCGCTTCCATGGAACACTGACAGCCCCGAAGAAGTGCTGATCAGCTGGAAAACGGCACTGATCCTGGCGCTTCCGCTGAGCCCTGACAGCCCTGCAGCTCCAGCCATCTCTTGCTCAGGCTTGTGCGGTGCTGCCACCAGTTCAGCTCATTCCCCTCCCCCGCTACCACTTTTCTAGGATGGTCGCGTACCACCTGCCAGGTGCCAATATACCACAGGTGGTACCTGTACCACTGGTTGAAAAGTCCTGCTCTAGAGCACGGGTGTCAAACTTGCCACGTCACGGGTTTTAAAATTAATAACAATAAGACTAAAATATTACCCAAAAATATGACTAATATGGATAAGCAGATTTTGGTTAATCTGACAGATTTTGAGGTTGTTGATAAGGTAAAATATCTGGGGGTTACTTTATCTGTCTCTAATGTAAAATTGTATAAAAATAATTATGAAAGGTTGTGGGTCAGGATACAAAGAGACTTGAAAAATTGGGAGAAGTTGCAATTATCTCTTTTGGGAAGAATTGCGGCGATTAAAATGAATGTCCTGCCTAAATTCCTTTTCTTATTTCAAATGATACCTATCTTAAAGAATGAGGTCAATTTAAATGAATGGCAGAAAGGTATCAATAAATTTATCTGGGCGGGGAAAAAACCAAGAGTAAAGCTTAAAATTATACAAGATATCTGTGAGAGAGGTGGACTCAAGGTACCGAATTTGAAATTGTATTATGATGCTGTGGCCTTAACATTAATTAGTGATTGGGTTAATTTAACAAATGTAGAAATACTCCTCTTGGAGGGTTGGGATTTACTTTTTGGATGGCATGCCTATTTAATTTTTAATAAAAAAGTTGACCGGGTTTTTAAATCCCATATTATAAGGATTTCTTTACTTCGGGTTTGGAGGAAATATTACAGAAGTGATTCTAAAATACCATTATGGGCTATACCTTGGCATGCGATAGAGGGGATAAGGAGAGGAGTTAAGATGGATAGTGTTTCTTATGCACAATTGCTTAGATGGGATGGTAAAATTTGGCAGTTAAAATCTTTGGAAGATTTAGCACAAGAAAATATTATATATTCATGGTTTCAGTATAGACAAATAGCGGACAGATGGAAGATAGATCGTAATGTGGGCTTGCTTAGAGAAGATGAAAATTTTGTTAAACAAGTAAAAGATCAAAGACGAACTCATATTAAGAGAATTTATGGGTTGCTAGTAGAATTGGACTCAGAACCAGAATTAATTAAAGAATGTATGATTAAATGGGCACAAAATTTTGGTGAACCAGTTCTACTAGATACCTGGGAAATTATCTGGGTGAGAAATGTTAAATTTACACAAGCCCAGAACTTAAGGGAGAATTTTTATAAAATGTTTTATAGGTGGCACCTTGATCCACAAAAAATGTCTCGTATGTATCCTGACTTACAGCCCAAATGTTGGAGATGTGGTTGTTTGGATGCTACTTATTACCATATTTGGTGGTCGTGTAAAAATATAAAAGCCTTTTGGATTAAGATATGGTGGAATATTCAAAGAATTATTAGAAGGAGGGTAAAATTTATCCCACAATTGTTTTTGTTAGGTATTGTTACCGATTGTGATACTAAGGAGGTTATATTGATGTTAAATTTAATTACAGCCGTAAGGTTGTTAGTAGGGCAATACTGGAAGAAGGAATCTTTGCCTACTTTGCAAGAGTGGTTTTTTAAAGTATCCTATCTGGCGGAAATGGCAAAGATTTCGGCTTTTTTAAAGGATCAATCGCAAGAGAAGTTTTTTGTGGTATGGAAAAAATGGATAGATTTTATATAACATAAGTTGGATATAAAAATATTACTTAGTTTATCAATAATTTATATACAAATTTTAATATTTTATAGATTGTATTATTTCTTTTTCTTTTTATATGTTTTATTATTATTTTACTTTCTTATATTTCTTTTCTTCTTTCTTTCTCTTTATTCTTCTTTTTTTTAAGTATTTTCTTTTTTTTTCTTTAATATTTATGTCTTTTATATATATATATATTATTGTTAATTATTCTATTAGTAGTTTAAGTAACGTATTTAGACTTATCTATGGTTTATATTTTTTTTTTAAGAATTCAAAAAAATTTAATTAAGCCTATATTCAGCTCTGGGAAAGTTGAGGGAGGGAGTGGGAGGGTTGGGGTGGGTTGGGGAGGGTTGTTTTTTCTTATTTTGTAAAATTTTAAAAATTTTCAATAAAAAAATAAAAAAAAACTTGCCACGTCACATGACATGTCGCGGCATATCACTACTTTTTTCTCCTTGCTTCCACGTTGACGCATCCGGCCTGTAGGCCAGCAGTTTGACACCCCTGCTCTAGAGTATGGAATTTTACTAGGTATTGTTTCTATACATTTTTTTTAGACATATTTGTGCCGTTGCTAGGAACTGCAAGGTCGCGTTCTTTTTAATTGAAGTTTTCTGAGAATTTGGATTAGTCTCTGAGCCAATGTTATATTTGCCAGTGTGGCATCTCCTCCCCCTTTGTAACTTTAAATATACCGATATTAGCTGTTTGTTTGAGCACTGGAATATTTAACTTTCTTAATATGAATAGGTTTGTTTTAATGCTGTCCCTCCCTCCTCTGCCCCTGTCCAACTTTGCAGGGCTGTGAGTTGGGCCGAAGAGCACCCACGCCAATCCGGGAAAAAGAGGTGACTTTGTGTATGCAATGCAAAGAGCCCTTCAACGCTCTCACCAAACGGAGGCATCATTGCCGAGCCTGTGGCCATGTGAGTGATTTTCCCTTCAAATTATATCTCTCCACACCCTAATCCCCTCTTCCCAGTTTCCTCTGTGGAGAGAGAGGCAAGATACAGCTATCAACTTTGCATTAAGCTGTGTTAATGAGCTACTTCAGTCTTGTCTCCCAGGATGTTTGTTGCTTTTAGTGCTGATCATGAAGCTTTTCTGTCTGATTTGTTTGCTCTGGGGTGTGTGTCAGCCATTGTTACAGGAGACTTAGATCCAGCCACTATCACGTAGCCCAAGTTACCATACAGGATTAGTAAAATTGAAGAGAGGGTTGGTACAGGTGTTACCTTAAGTTCTTTGGCAACCTAGTAAATTTTGAGAGTTCTGAGCTATTTACAACTTATCCAATTTTGTGATAACATAAAAGCAGCAAAACTTGGAACAAGAAGTTCTGTGTGTTTTGTTTTCTTCCCAGAGAGGACCTTCCATCCATCCATCTATTCATTCATTCATTCATTCATTCATTCATCTGCTGCAGCCCCTGCAGACTCCTAGGATACATGCCACAAAAAGTACAAAACAACCTAACAAAGTACTCTAGACATTCCAAACTATTGACCTGATGCACTGCTGAATGTGTGTCTCCTCTGTTTCAATCAGTGTACCAGAACAAGAATGGACCCAACTCTCTTCTATATGGATCCCCTACCCATGGGATTAGACACTGTCCAGTGATCTTGGGAAAGGACTACTGGTCATGTGAAATGGACATGTTCAAAAGTGTCAAATATTCAGCAAGGATCTATAAAAGCACAAGCAGAGATCTCCAAGGACTACTCATTTCAAGGAAATTAAATAGTAAATGTTCAGTCAGTAATCAGTACAGATAAAGAACAATAAATTTAAATTTTAAAAGATTGACCATCAGATTAAAACACTAGCCCGTCAATAAAGAAGTATATTTGCCCCCAGTTGATCTTCTTCGTCATTTAGAATATGGCAATTCTATACATGATATGAGTTTTTTTATCTGACAGAAGGAAGAGACAGAGAATGTTTTCACTCTGTCCTACAAATGGTGTCAGTAAAGGAGAAATAGGGATTAGCTGATCGCCCCAATAATCAGGGCAAATAGCAAATGGTCTCATTAGCATCTTTGCCAAAAGGCCAAGTTGTTTTAGACAGGGAGACTATGGTAAATCTCTTACTAAAACTTGTAGAGGACAACCCATCTAGGCGACTGATCTAGCTCCTGTCCTGGTGCATGGTGGCAGAGAAGCAGCAGCTGGAAATTCAGCCATCAAGTAGCCATCTTAATCATTATCTGAAGAGATCTGCTTCCCAGCGTTGTTCCAAGACTGAAGAACAGACCAAAATCCTTTCTTGCCAGCCCACCTGAGCATGGGAGAGAAGAGCAGTTGAAGGGTCCAGTATGGAAGAGGCCTAAAACTTCCTCTTGATGATTTTGGGTGCCTATCACCACTGATGCAAGTTGTCTCCTGCAGGTTGTCTGTGGAAAATGCTCAGAGTTCCGGGCCCGCTTGGTGTATGACAACAACCGGCCAAACCGTGTCTGCACTGACTGTTACACCACGCTTCATGGCTCCCCTGGCAGCCCTGTGCCCCATCCCAACACCCCCCAACGCCGAAAATCCATTCTGGAGGTAAGAGTAGTTCTTATATCTTTGTAGATAGCAAAGCATTTTCTTCGGACCAGCTATCTGCTGAATTTCTTTGATAGGACACTCTGGAGGGAATTTTCTTTCTTTAAATCTATTTCTTGCAGCTCTTTATGCAAATTTTCTTTAGCCTTATGTTCCTTGCCACATTTTCCCCACCAATACAATGTCTGTAGGATCCTCTTGAAGCTCCGATAAGCTTTATTGGCAAAAATGTACAAGGATTCAGAAGATCCAAAAGTGCACATCTTCTTTTCCACACAATTCTCACTTTGTAAGACATTGCACCCTGAAATGGAGAACAAACATGTTTGCTTACTAGCGGATGAAAAGAGAAGATGTGTATTGGTATCAGGCTTGTAAAAATACAGAAAACTGAAACAGTATGTTATTAGATATGTATATTTTAGAAATTTTACTGATTAAATTAATAGTCTTTCAAATTCAAAATGTGAAAGACTATCTGGATGTGGCTCAAGCACTGATGCCAGGTACTCAGTAATACCTCTGAAGGGGTTTTTGGTCTCTGTTGCCTGAGATGTTTTTGAAGGATTCCAGAGAGTAACCTTGAACTTTGTTTTATATGGAGAATTCCAGCAGGAGCAATGGCAACAGAGCAGAGCAAAGTATGGGAAATCTTAGTCTGTCTCTGTCTCTCTCTAACTCCTTCCCTTCCCCGTCCCTAATTTTTCTCTTCCATTTGCCTGCTTCTCATTAGCTTGTCCTATTTCTTACTCTTTCCAATTAGAAACTTATGCTTGAACATAGTGTTATTGTAGACATATGTCTTGCCTTTGACTGACCAATTGGAATAGATATAAGCCATTTCTATATTTACAAAACGCTACTCGTTTGCTTTAACAGGTTTTGAAAATGCTAGTCTTGTCTATCTGTCTGTCTCTATGTATGGCAGATTAGGTTGGTATCTCTTTATAAATTCTGTGGCTGAATGTAGTCTGAAACTTGGTTGTCTACCATTCAAGCCAAATGGTGAGGAACTTGTGACTTCCTGGCATTGCTGAACCACAACTCCCAGCAGCTCCACAAGCATGGTCAAACACTATGGGATATCGGGAGCTGTAATTCAGCAGCAGTAGCAGATGAGGAGGAGAAATCAGATTTCCCATCTATACTCTAATTCAGAAGTGGGGAAACTATGGCCCCTTTATGACTTGCTGACTCAGGAATTCTGGGAGTTGTAGTCCACAAGTCATGAAGGGGCCATACTTCCCCACCTTTGCTCTAATTGCTAGATTTCATGCATTTATGGTATAGCACATGAAGCAGAGATTTTGGTGGGTAATACTTACCTTTCTGCTCTTCTGCAGAAACAAGCCTCGGTGGTGGCAGAGAATAGTGTGATCTGCAGTTTCTTGCACTACATGGAGAAAGGAGGGAAGGCTTGGCACAAAGGCTGGTTTGTCATCCCTGAAAATGAACCTCTGGTGTTATACATCTATGGAGCTCCACAGGTATGGGAGTGCCTCTCTGCCCCTCTGCCATCTACCTTTGATTCCTTGCTTTAACCTAACCTGAGAGACAGCAATACACCTCCTTTTGTGTAAGAATGGCAACTCCATTCCGGGGTTTAGAGTAAGAATCCTAGTCACACATTTTAAGGTGCAGGCGGGCAACACGCAAGGATTGCACTTTCTTCCTTTTTAATAGCTACAAAGTACACAGCAATGACAACAGGGATGCCATCTTTGGGGAGGTCAGTTCAGTTGGGGACACGTGGTAAGCATCGAAAAGGCCTATAGTGCATCTATTTTGCTAATAGCTTATTTGGGTGCTGCCTCTTGGAATTATGGGGCTGAAAGACTGTTGAATGATAATGGGGCTCTGAGGCTTCAAAAACAGGTTGGAGGGCTGCATGCGGGCCTTCTCCTGATCTCAAGGGTGTCTCATGTCACTTTCAGATAAAAATCGGCTGTCAGAAGCCAATGGGCTCATCTGATATGAATGCTCAGTTGGTTTTGAATCCCTTTGGGAAAAGATGAGTCTAAGTCAGAAGATCAATTGATCTCGGCCCACCAGGTCAGTTGATAACCATTCATTGTGCTTCCTGCTCTGTCATCCTACAGGATGTAAAAGCCCTGCGCTCGATGCCTCTGATTGGATTTGAAGTCAGCCTTCCTGAGCCCAGCGAACGGGTGGACCGACGCCATGCCTTCCGGATCAGCCAGAGCCATCTGTGTTGGTATTTCAGCCCTGAGACTGAGGAGCTGCGGCAGCGATGGATGGAAGTGTTGAGCAGGGCAGGCCGCGGAGAAGAAGCGAAGACTCCACCTTCAATTCTGGAGGCCGATGAGGATACAGAAGCAGAGAGAACCTAGGCATGGGCCTGAGGAACTGGGAGAAATGGACTCTGCCCACATGGGGACCTTACTCACTATTCTCTGACCAGTATACTTGAAACTATTTTTCCTTCTTCCTCTTTCCGTCTAGCACTTTCTCAGTTCTTTTTGTCAGCATCTGCCATAGCCATCTGACCTGTCCTCGGCCAATGATGTTCTCTGCCATACCCCAGCCATAGGGATAAAGCACATGCACTGAGATTTGCTCCAGGCCAGTTCTTCCCACACCATAGCATGCAGTATCCCACATACCCCCTCCAGCTTAGTTCCCTTCATGTTCTCTTTTATGCATGGAAAAACTGATTTGAGAAAGTGATTTCTTCTTTTAAGAATGTGCTTCCCCCTTCTTTACCTCTTGGACCAAGATCTGTTCTTCCAATCCCCCACTGCTTATTTAGCACTTACTGAACTCCAGTAATTTGGGAAGACAAAAATGGGGGAGTGTCCTTTCTCAAGTATCTGTTTGCCTCTTGTTTTGATAACTTATTCCAGTGTTTCCCAAACTTGACAATTTTAAGGCATGAGGACTTCAACTCCCAGAATTCCACAGCCAGCAACGCTGGCTGTGGAATTCTGGAAGTTGAAGTCCACATGCCTTAAAATTGTTTGGGAAACACTGACTAATTCCTCTAATTCCCCATCTCTGCTTGAGATTGGGTAGGATGTTTCAGTCTGCTGCAGATTTAATAAGTAGGCAATCTTCCATTATAACTTGAAGCCATTCTACCAGTCTTGATTTTTGTGCCAAATGGGAGTAAATCTGGGTTGGGTTAGATTGAGAGAAGAAAAAAAGATTGTCTTTACTTTTGTACAGCTTATCTCTGGAGGATAAGTTCTTCCTCATCACAAGAACTCATGTGTTGGATACATCCCCTTATTAATTTACTGTTACAACTTTGTGGAATCCGAAGACTGATTTCCGTTCCACTGAACTCAAGGTCCCTCCAGGTACCAGTTGGATAGCGCCCAATTTTCTAATTTGGCCCTTTTTTTCAATTAAATTGAATGGCAAAAAGAGAACTGTCGTTTGCTATTAACGGATCATCAGGTGGGCACTTGTGTCCTTCTGTGTATATTGTTGGACTGGATCTCCTATCATTTTCTATCACTTGGCCATACTGTCAAGAACTGATGGAAGTTGAGAGTTCTGCAACTTCTGGAGCAGCGGTTCTCAACCTATCGGTCGCGACCCCATTTGGGGTCGAACGACCATTTTACGGGGGTCACCAAACAACACGATCCGCCATTTCCCCCCTCAGGGGGCGCCGCCGCGCATGCGCACCGCGCATGGCGCCACCGCACATGCGCACCGTGCATGGGGGCACCACTGCACATGCGCACTGCGCATGGGCGCCACCGCATATGCGCACTGCGTCCGTGTGACGGGGGTTGCCGTCACACAAAGGTTGAGAACCGCTGCTCTGGAGGGTCATATCTCACCTACTACTGATCTAAAATGTCATCTTTTTGAGGAGCATGGAGCATAGGCATGCTAAGGGAGAAAGTTTCCACGGTGAACAGTAGAGATGCTAGAGACTACATGCATTAAATTGGAATACAACTAAGAGTTAGAATGTCCAGAGACTTCAAATCTCATTCATTTCAGCTTCAGCGTTTCACCCCAACTTATTTAACAAGCCTATGCCTCCAGTGGCTTGTGAACTCTCAATAATGGGGCTGGGGAAGATTAGATTTCTTGGGTCAAAGGAAGGTGCAGAAAGTTCTCAAACATATCAGCAATCTCCATTCAAATGGCCCATGGGAGAGAATGGGGAACATTTGAGAATATATTTTTGTCTTGGAATTCTTTTAAGGGTTAGTGAAATACAGACCAGGGCCAAATTGCTGGATAGACTGCTGAAGTCCTGGCTTAAGAGCCACAAATATTAGAATATGGTGCTAGTGCAGTATTAATTTCTCCATTAACCTATACTGTAAATGTAGTCCTCAATTTACAACCACAGTTAAGCCCAAATGCTAAGTGAGACAGTTGTTAAGTGACTTTTGTCCCATTTTACCACCTTTCTTGCCACAGTTGTTAAGTGAATCATTGCAGTTAATTTACTAACATGGTTGTTAAGTGAATCTGGCTTCTCCATTAACTTTGCTTGTCAGAAGGTTGCAAAAGGTGATCACATGACCCCGGGACACGGCAACCGTCATAAATACGAGTTGATTGCCAAGTGTCTTAATGTTGATCACATGACCATGGGGATGCTGCAATGGTCGTGTGAAAAACAGTCATAAGTCACTTTTTCAGTGCCATTGTAACTTCAAACGATCACTAAATGAACTATTGTAAGTCGAGGACTACCTGTATAAGCAAAAGCAGCCTTTCTCAATAACCAAATTCAGAGCACACAAAGTTGCTTATCGCCGTGGTAGCACAGTGGTTAAAGTGCACTATTGCAGGCTCCACTGCCTACTGCCAGGAGTTTGATTCTGGCTGGCTCAAGGTTGACTTGGCCTTCCATCCTTCTGAGGTTGATAAAATGAGGACCCAGAGTGTTGCTGACACTATAAGGGCTGTAAAGCATGTGAAGTGGTATATAAGTCTAAGTGCTATTACTATTTGGTTTTCATAACACTGCTCAAAAAAAGGAAAAATATTAGTGACATGTGTACTGATTTGCAATTTTAGAACCACTTTCTGCTGTTTTTCAAGAGCCAGTCTCCAGCATCAAATACCCAGGGAAGTACTGTCCCCAATAGAAATGAAGGCATTCCATTCGTAAATAATGTGAAATTCCCAGCTGGCTTAAAATGGATCACTTCTGGTCTAGGTAACAAGAGATAGATGTGCATGAGATTCCATACAAAGTGTGGTTATTTCAATAGGATGAAGTAATCTTCTTTCCTTGAAACTAAATACAGGTGCTTCCTCTCCTTGATACAATGCACTTAAAATGGTTTAACATTTTAGAACTCTTTTGAGCCTTATTGGACGATCTTAGAAGTTCTTAAAATTCCCCCAAAGTATCCCTCTCCTTTCCTCTTTTTTTTGCTGGTACTGTTTCAACACACAAATGAGTGGAGATTGTGTGTGTATGTGGGATTTTAAAAAGAAACAAGAACAAATCCTTGCCTTATTTTATGTAGGTTTCCTGGTGTTGCTGTTGGTACCCATGGTATTCTTTTATCTTCGCCCTCCTGTGGTGTAGAACTAGTGCATGTAACTTTTATATTAAAAAAAGGCCTCAGTATTAAGGGATATACAAAATCTTACCAAAATAATATTTTATTGTTGCTCTTGTATAGTGGCTGGCCACTGCAAAGGTTAGGGAAGGGAAGCTTTTATTGACCAAAACTTCCTGTGTCCTACCATCATGATTTGTGTATTGTCCATTTTACTTTTTGTTTCATTGTTGTATTTTGTTTTTCATTGTTTTTTTTTTTAAAATACAAGATTTTTTCTGTTACACTCTTTTTTTTTTCTTTGCGTAAGAGTGCAGTCCTTTCTTTGCATAGTAAGGGTGGTTAGACTTTGGGGAAATAGTTGCTTCCTTTCCAATGACTTGAACAAGATGATCGGTGAACAGGACACAGCAGGAGAACTTTTTCTGTCAAGGATCCTATATTGTTGTTCAACGTTCATTTCAAACTCCAGGAAGGTTACTGAGGCAAAAGCACATCCTCCAATTTTGAAGGGGAAGAAACTTCAAAGATTAAAAATATTGTATGCCACCAAGTTAAATTCCATTTAGCCTCTGTTAAATCAGGAGCAAAGATACAGCCAACAAAAGTGCTTCCAATGTACCCAGGCTTCTCTGGAAGCCTATTATGTGTCCTATACAAGAATTCAAGGCTTGCTGCATCTATCCAGGTCTACCACAGTTTTTTCCTTCATTTCTTTTTTCTGGTTACCAACATCCATCCATCTTCAGTAGTCCTATCTGACAGTGGAGATGGATTGCTTTGTATTCCATTCATGCTGGAACCAGCACTGCAGTCCATGGCCTGGAGGAGGAAGAAACAACGAAGATGATCAATCTGTTCTTTTTCCATGGTTTCTTTTTTTTTTTTTTTTTTTATTGAAATTTTTCAAAAGTTTTACAAATAAGAATCCACCCCCCCCTCCCCAACCACCCCACCCCCCCCCCCGACTTCCCAGAACTGAATATAGGATTATTTAACAAATATTTTAAAAATAACATTTGCAATTTATAAAATAATTAATAATAATAATAAAAATCACAGTAATAATATATATAATAATAATATACATAACATAAACTTTAAAATGAATAATATATACTAAAAAAGAAAAAAAAAAAATAAAAAAAAAGAGAGAGAGAGAAAGAAGAAAGAAGAAAGTAGACGAAGAATAAAGCATATATATATATAAAAAGAAAAAAAATATATATATATATGAATAATAATACGTAAAAAATGTATATATATAAAAAAGAAAAAGAAGAAAGAAAGAAAGAAAAAACAATCATTACAAATTATAAAAAGGCTAAATAATATTTTTCCATATCCAAATTATGTTGTATAAAATTTATCCATTTTTCCCATACCGCAAAAAATTTTTCTTGAGATTGCTCCTTTAAGAAAGCCGAAATCTTTGCCATTTCTGCCAAATACGAAACTTTATGAAACCATTCTTGTAAAGTAGGCAAAGATTCCTTCTTCCAATATTGTCCTATTAACAACCTAGCGGCTGTAATCAAATTTAACATCAATATAACCTCCTTAGCATCACAGTCAATAACAATACCTAGTAAAAATAATTGCGGAGTAAATTTTACCCTCCTTTTAAAAATTCTTTGAATATTCCACCATATCTTAATCCAAAAAGCTTTTATATGCTTACACGTCCACCAAATATGGTAATAGGTAGCATCCAAATATCCACATCTCCAGCATTTCGGCTGTAGATTAGGGTACATAATGGACATTTTCTTTGGGTCAAGGTGCCATCTATAAAACATCTTATAAAAATTCTCTCTTAAATTTTGCGCTTGTGTGAATTTAACATTTCTTATCCAAATAAGTTCCCAAGTATCCATTGAAATCGTTTCACCAATATTCTGTACCCATTTAATCATACAATCTTTAACTAGTTCAGGTTCTGAATCTAATTCCACTAAAACCCCATAAACTCTCTTAATATGGGTTGGCCTTTGATCTCTCTTTTTCCATGGTTTCTTGAATAAACTAATTGGCTCCTGCCAAATGACACAGCAGTTTACTCAAAACAAACATGTAGTGCCTAACATAATAACTAACTTATCTTAAAATTTTGTTTTTAATTTTCAATATCAAGTGACTAAGCCTGATGATACCAGCCTCACAGAAGCCTAATCCAGGCAAACTAAATTCCCACTATCCCATAAAAACACAGTTTTAAGAATTGGCCAGCTTCAGAATCAGCTTATAATTCTTCCAATGCATTCTGCAGAACGTATCCCAAAGCCTTCAGATTTCATTCACATTTACAAAGTCACTTTGTATGCAGATTGCTGCTCTACAAGCTCAGTCCTAATTTTCAGAAGAATTTGTGCAATACCTCTTCTTCCGTTTCTTGTTCTTCCTCACTGCTGCTTTCTGCAGCTGGCTGAGATTTGGCAACTGCCCTCCTAGCCTCTTGTTTCTTCTGTGCCAGATGGATAATGGCATCAAGCATTGCTGCTGTATCTCCCTGATGGCTCTGTCTGAAAAACAGGCACAGTTGCTGGCTTACCTATAGTGTGGGAAGAGGGAAAGATTGCTCATTACCTTGGAAGAGCCAACAATTGCCCCATAAACTGGTCTATCTATCCTACCACCCCTTGCCTGCCCAATTCAGCATTGCTGCATGATAGAAAATAGATAAATCAAAGGCTTTGGCCAGCATCCCCCCCCCCCCAGTGAAGAAAAATGTGTCTAACTTAAAAGCAGATTTCTCTAGGTCTTTCTTTTTCCATGCCAGAAACTGATGTCTCTTTATTCTTTTAGCATCAGAGACTAGGCATGTACAGTTATTGGATAAATTTATGAGTAGTTAAAAAAAGAAACTGCTTCAAACACTAAAAATATAAGATGGGTTCACATGTGGCTTTCTGACAACAATGGCCCAATTCATTCACAATGCTATGCCAAAACAATGGAATTCTTTGTGTTTACGTATATATACATATATCCAGCTTTGAATCTAGAATGTAGCAAATGCCTCTCAGACTATATTTACACAACAGATTAACCCAAGTTTACTAAATTTAATCAAATGGCTTTGGTTTTCATGCCCCCTGTACCACTGACAAACTTTGCTGGCTGAATTCATGCAACTCTTTGAGCCAAAAACTCATTGAACTGCCAGGCAACCAAACTGTACAAAACCAAATCGGTTAAAACAACTTCCCAAATAATGGCTAACTTTAATCCTTCAGAGCCAGAGGAACATCTGGAGTTGTTTAGCTATTGTTGCAATTAAGGCTTTTTAGCAAGTCTCATCAGCATTAAATCTATCACAAATGATAAAAAAATACAAACACTTAAAACACTGCTATCCTCCCATTTTCATTCTAGCTCACCTCCCCCTTGTCTCCCAGATAATTGTTGACTCATAAAGTTAATTCTGGAACAGAAAATGGCTTTGAGCTTGGCTTTTCTCCAAAACAATGCCTTCTAGACAAACGAGACAGTTAAAATAAACCATAGTTTACTGAGTAAGCCAACATGGAACAATTTTTCAAACCACATGAAATCATACTATGATTTAGAGCACTGCACGGCCAGTGAGTGGCTGTGTACACAATATGCTAAGCCATTGTTGTGTGTACTGAATAAAACACAATGGCAATACAGAGTTCTCATTGTACATGGTTGTACCACATGAATGCTGTTCTCCTTGTAGTTTGCTATAATCTCAGTTTAGCTGTTTTGGCAATAGCTATTTCCTCCGTAACACTTGCAACATTGGAGGTCCTCTTATCTACATTGTTGTTAATATATGTCCAAGAGCAATAAGGACCAAAAGACCATTCACATGGCATATTGTTTTCCTCTCCATTTTCTTTCATGCCACAGCCCTGGTCCTCAGTATTTCTTGGGGTTACACCTCTGGGGAAAAAGCAGTAATCATTATTATTATTTTGAGGTTTAATGTACACAATATTTTCACTTACTGGGCCCAGCCTCTTTTGTTTGTAGCTGTTTTTAATGAGGACCTTTCTAGTGTCTCAGCCTTTCCTCTGTCGGTTCAGTTATAAACATCTTTCAGTGTAAGTACTTGCAGACATTCTACAAAGAGCTGGCTATTACTTTAAAGGCTTAATTTTAAATCGGAATTTCTCCCTTTGTAATATTACTGGATGAAAACTGTCTAGTTTTTGTAGCAAACTTCACAGCCTTCTAATCTGTGTTCAGTTGTAATCTCGAGAGGGAGTGTTTGAAACCCACACCTATACATTTTGGCATAACCTTCAAGTACAGCTAGGTTTATTTGTGTGTTTGTGTGTGGGGGGGGTGCGCAGCTCATTTGCAAAGCTTTCTATTTCATTGATTCTGAGCAATTCAAGATAATTAGCTTTAGAGATTATGGTCCAAAAGAGATTAAATATAATTTAAGACTCATAAGCTCATATAAATTCTGTATTTCTCCCTCCACATCCCCCAGCTATATAATAAACCGTTACAAAAATAAACCATAAATAGTTCACAAACCACAAAAGCTGCATTCGCATAATATGTTATGCCAAATATTTGGCTTAGTGAGCTCTGTGCATCCACTAAGTATTTGTTAAGAATCTTATACTTCTCCAGGTACTGTCATCCACTACAGTGCAAAAACCATGACCCAGGATTTTATAAGTGCTTAGCCCATCAACTGACTTTTTCTTCTTCAGCACTGCAACACTTCTTTATGGAGCAATAGTGCCCCACCGTGGTCATTTGATCAGCTGGAGACGCAAGAACCATTTTAAATCCTAAGCACTAGTTTGGTTAGATTAATTGGAGGTTCTCAAAGGAAAGAGAACATAATAGCTTTTCATTTGGACTCTTTTGTTGGCTGCAGTGAAATATATTGGAAAATTCCTTTGACAATAAAAATGAAACAAAATGAGTTTTAGGGTTAGGGTTAGATCACATTTTAGTCGGGGCTGAAAAATGGTGTGAGAGCTATATTCTAGGACAGTGGTGGCGAACCTTTTAGAGACCGAGTGCCCAAACTGTAACCCAAAACCCACTTATGCATCGCCAGGTGCCAGGTGGGCGTGGCCACCGAGTGGGCATGGCCACCAAGCTGTTGGCTCGTGTTCACTTGCTCGCTTGCTCGCTGTCTGTTCCAATTTGTGCTCGTTTTCTCGCTGTCTGCAGCAAATGCTGCTTCCGCCGAAAGTTGCGCCTTTTATAGCCTCTCATCTATTGCCTGGCTGCGCATATGCGGAGAGGAGGAGGGAACAGCTCTGCCCAGCAATGGCTCATGTGCCACCAGAGATGGCTCCATATGCTGCCTGTGGCACACATGCCATAGGTTCGCCACCACGGTTCTAGGAGGTTCTCAAAGGAAAGTGAGCATAACAGGTTTTTGGGCCACAGAGAAATTCATGAGAAAATCCCGTTGATAATGAAAATGAAAGTCGGCTTAGGGTTGGGGTTAGGGCAGGGGTAGGGTTAGATCCCTTTGGACTCAGCACTGAAAAGGGGTTTTAGGGTTAGATTCTAGGAGTTTTTCAAAGGAAAGTGAGCATAACAGGTTTTTGTTTGGACTCTTTTATGGGCCTCAGTGAAATACATGGGGAAATCCTTTTGACAATGAAAAGGAAAGTAGGGTTAGGGTTAGATAACATTGGAGTCAGGGCTGAAAAATTGTGTAAGTCTATATTCTGGTAGTCCTCAACTTTGGGTCGTAATGGAGCCTGCCCATTACAGTTGTAAGTCGTGACAGTTGTAAAGCAGGTCAACCATGTGATTGGATCCATTTTTAAGCAGCTTTTTTGCAGAAGTCATAAAATATATTCTAGTTTTTGCTGAAAGCTAGAAGTAAATGCCAGGTTTGGAGAAAACATTTTAAAACATGGCCATGCAACTACAAGTTCTCTAAATGACTATAAAGATGGGTCAGTTGCTGAGAGCCCAACATGCTGTTATGTGACCATCGGAACGTTGGAACCGGTTGTATTTTTTTGGGGGGGGGAGGGGTATCTAAGCAAGCAGTTATAACTCGTGTTGTGTGTGATTCGACATGATGCACTCATCCAACTAACTGCAGCCCAGTCAGCAACTTATATCTGAATGCAACATATGAATCCAGACACTTGTTGTGGAGTCCTTGGTGCTCTCTGAGCTTGGTTGTAATGCTTGTAGATCAAGGGTGTCAAAACTCAATTTCATTGAGGGCCGCATCAGCATTGCAGTTGCCCTCAGGGGGCCGGGTGGATGTGGCCAGGGTGGGTGCGGCCTACTGGGTGGGCATGGATTGAGTGGGTGTGGCCTACTGGGTGGGCGTGGCCAGCTCTACATCGTTCGTGTCAAGGGTGCCTGTGGGGGCCTGGGCAGGAGTGGGACAGATCTGAGGGTCTCTGGCAGAAGGGGGTGGGACCGGGGCAAGTGCCAAGGCATGGTCCACTGGAGGAGCCTCAATGTTCCTCTCAGGCCATGCGAGGGGAGGGGTTGGTGGTGCGGACTGCCCAGAGCCCTGGGCAGCAGAGGTCAAATGCCCAGCCTGGCCCTTGAGTACCTGCGGCACCAAGCCCAGCCCCATTCCCTCAAGGCTGCTGCTCAAGGCTCTCCTGGTTCCTTGCTATTTCCAGACGGCCTTGTGGAGCTAAGACTAAATGCATTTCAGCATAGATGCCACCACAAAATTGTACATTGGCTCCCGGCCGGCCTGGGCCAGGGCCAAGGCAGCGGGGGCCGTTCCCTCACTATTTCCAGGATGGCTTCGCGGGCCACATGAAACCACTCCACGGGCCGCATCCGGCCCCCAGGCCTTGTGTTTGACATGTCTGTTGTAGACGTTTCATTACTCCACTAGATAACATAATGTTAGTGACTGGATAACCACACAATTTTATCAATCAACTTTATTCAATCCACTATAGCACAACCAATACAAGATATGAAAAGGAGAACACTACCAAACCTCTAAAACGTCTCAGAAAAAAACAATAGACTATTATAACCCCATGACAATTCTAGAGCACACAAACTAAAACCTTCCAAAATATCTTAAGTAAACCAAAAGACCCAGCAGCTCAAGAAAAAAAAAACAGGATCATCTACCACTTACAGAATAAACTTCTATCAATGAAAGACAGGCAGAAGACTAACAGAGTATAACAATGAACATCAACTAGCAGGAGACATGATAAAAACGTAATCTCACATCACATGGACAGACTCAAGCCCAATTTCAACTGGGAAATTATAAGTATCCTAGACCAGGGGTCCTCGGTCCATGGACCGGCACCGGTCCGCAGCATGCTAGCAAGTGGGCCGCACAAACAACCAAAGCTCCATCCTCAGGATGCAGTCAGCACACAAAACCACATCCCCTCTGGTCCACAGAAAAACTTTTCTCCATGGCACTGGTCCCCGGTGCCTAAAAGGTTGGGGACCTCTGTCCTAGACCAAACCAAATCTAAAAAATCTATGAAATTCATGGAAGTTTGGCATTTAGATGTCAGCTATCAATAGTTAACATCAAAATAAAGCATATTTAATGATCATTCAAAAGAGATTTTAAAAAAAGGAAACAAAAAGACCAGAACACATTCCCTCCACAACAGAGATAAGCAACGATTAACACCAGACAATCACACAGAAAACAATACCCTCATCAAGGAACTATCAAGGAGAAAACCACACCATCGCCCGACATTGGGAGGACAACCTACTGTATATAAACAGGGAGTAAACCTACACTCACTAGCACTGATATTATTTAGTTGGGTAGTGAACCATCTGTGAGCAAACCAAGATCAGACAGCACCAAAGACTCTGCCACAGTTCAACAGAACATATTTTGTTTAGTTGGGATAACGTTGGCTGCTGCTAGGCAATTGATGACAGCTCAGATGGATTAATTATTGCACACAGTAATTTCACACAGATGCTTATTAGCAACCCTGTTAAATCACATGGGCCATAATAAAATAAGCATCTTGTTGCTGAATCCAGGTACGTAAGTGTTTAAAAATAAACAAGGCTGTCATATTCTGTCACCATCAGCTTAACTCCAACATGTACTTTCCTGAAACTGCATAGCTGTGCAAGCACTGGAAAAAGCACAGCTTCGCTAAGGAGGTCCTGACAGGCATAGCGAGTTCTTAACTCAAAACACTTCCTGGAGGAAAAAAAAAAAGAGATGCACAGAGAAAGGCTCAAGTATAGCTTTTCTCCCTGGCAAATGCAGGCTACAGTTCAGTTTCGCAAGGAACAATATTTAGTTCAATAAAGCTGCAGTATGGGCCAGCCTCCTCACCATTTGAAGACTTAAAAGAAACAATACCGTGATATACATAAGCCAACTTACAGGGTGTTGTATGAAGCACCAATTAATGTTGGGAAAAGCTCTTGATCTGTCTAAAAGCTTTCAAAGGCAGAACAACAGAGGAAATTATCTAGATGTGGGACCATTAAACCTCCATATAATACCTCTAACTGCATATTATCCAAGAACAGCATGGAAAGTCATGTGTGGAAAGAGGATAGGAACAAAAAGTACTTTTCCTCTCTTTAGAGAGTAACAAACAAATACCTGAGCCAAGCTTCCATCTTCTATTATAGTGTTAAATTCATTGTTCATCAGTTCAGCAAGGAAGTCCTCTATCTCCTCTGGTTCAAGGTCAACTGCAGAGAGATTGTACACACAGTCAAATAAGAGAACCGCATAGGAAATTTTCAGAGATGACTAGGGTTAAGCAGTTTCTAGACTACTGGCTATATTGTTCTATCCCATGTAACCCTCCAAGTCTCAACTTCTCTCCATGAAGAAAGCATACAAGCCAGCTCCAGGCCTTTCAACTGTACTCATTAAGCTGCACTGTCTTGCTAAAATGAGTAACACACAACAAGGTTGCTGATCCCAGAGCCTCTAGCAATGTTAATCATTGGATATTACTCGTAGGTGATCATAATGATCTTTAAAGCGATGGCCCAAGTTCATGCTTTTGAAACTATAATAAATTTGAGGAGTTATCTCAATTATTAAATGTCCTGTTTTAGACGGTTCATCATGGCAGTGAGGATTCTAAGGGCTTCATGTAAAATGAAAGGTCCACCATTCTGTGCCGTACATAAGGCACGTTTCAGGCTCAGGCTCTTCATCTAGCAATAAACGACTACAAGATCAGAATCTTGTACCACCATAATTCTAGGTACATCCTGGGCCATCCATATCCCACCAAATCTATCATTCAGTCAACAGGACAGAATCTCACCATTGCTCTCAAAGTATTGCTCCACAGCCCCTACCATCCATTCAGCTTTCTCTTGGCTATGTGCTCCTCCAAAGCCATTTTCAACTGCTATCTGCAATTGGAAGAAGACAAGGAAATGTTCGTAAACAGCAACTGGGCATTTGCGCAGCAAAGGGTTGCTTGGGGTGATAATTGGCACAATTTAAAACATGAATAAATAACAGTCCAGAATTATCTAGCCAGTTCTAATAGTGCTTTCAGTCCTTGGCTGAGCTCTAACAACAAAGTTAATTTGTCCTCCATGTTGCCTGTTTGGTTTCAGGAGCCGAATTAGGGAAAAGCCACATTTTCCCTCCAATGTGGTTTCAATAAAGGTCTACTGGTGAGGTAAACTATGGCATTACCAAAGCACACATATCCTTGATATAATCTTGAAGCACTCTTTTTCTTTTTGTAAATATAGGATGAAGTAAATTCATATAAATATGTTGGTGTCATTTGCTTGATAGCTAAACTAATAACACAAGGAAAGGAGCACAACTGACCTTCTATTACAACATTTATTCAGATTTTTACCTTCTATATATACTTCCCTTTCGATCGTGGTCAGTTTCCAATTCTGGTATGTATGAGAGGTGGGTTTTCTAAATTATTTTCTCAAGCGGAGCATGCTAGCTAACTGCCCCTCACTAGTTAGCTGCACACAAGCTGTGTCCTTTACTGGAACTTGGCTTTGTCAATAGAATAATTGACATATAAGGAGCATATTTGTACAGCGTAGTAACACATGTATAGAATGGGGAAATTTAAACAGTGAAAAACATCTGAGTATGAGTTGCATCTTAAAGCTGAGAGTTCACTTTTTGAATATATTGGTATTATTAGTTTACATAATAACGTAATATGCATTTGTTTACTGAAATGCTTTTATTCTTGACCAGACTGGAAAAAGGTTTACGGTATCTATGGAGCACCTTGGTGAAAGGTGGTACAATTTCTTCTTAGTTCATTGCCTGGATAAATAATTTAACATTTTACTGTCATCACCTCAACAAGAAAAGTTACTTCCTCTCTCCTGGTTTCTGTCCAGACAACACTGTCTTTTACAGAATGTAAATTTGTATGTGGAGTTATTGTATTCTATCTCTCATTTGCTTTGTTGATTATGAAGAATTAAATATTTATCAATACTGTTATTATAAACAGTATTTTTTGCATGTCGTAATGTATTATTAGCTAGCCCACCCATAGTTTAGCCCAGGGGTAGGCAACCTTGGCTCTTTTATGACTCGTGGACTTCAACTCCCAGAATTCCTGACCCAGGTAGGTTGCCTACCCCTGGGCTAGATTAAAACCTCTAGGAAATCTAATTCTCATATTGCCATGCAGGAAAAAAAAAATCTGAAGCTGAAAACCAGAATTACGGTGAGAACGTAGAAATTACAAAGCATGAACATTGGAAGGCTTGACACAGTAAAAACTGAAATGAATCAATTACTCACTGACATATTTGATGTCAGCATCTTAAAATGGACTGGAATTGGACACTTTTAGGCAAACAATTTCCTACTCAGGAAACAAAAACAGAGACTTAACAGAGTGAACAATTATCACACAATATTCTTAATTTCCTATATTAGCAAAATAGCTTTTAGAAACATTAATGCAGAATAGAATTATACATGGGGCAGGGGATACCAGATGATTTTAGAGAAGATGAGGAACAAGAGCCATTATTGCTGCTGCACACAAAACAAACTAGCAAAAAAGTCAGTAGGTGCTCCATTGGTTACAGAGAAGCCTTCAATTATGTTGACCATGTCAAGCTGAGGAATGTGCTTAGAAAAATGGGAATCCTGAAACACCTCAATGTCCTCATACAATACCTATGCAAGATCAGGAAGTCTCAGTGTGAAGCTAAACAAACTGACTCCAGGCTGACAAGGTGGGAGATAACTCTCTTCTTATCTATTCGACCTATATGCAGAATATTCAGTCAAGGAAGATGGACTGGGAGAAGATGAGCATGGCTTTGAAAATAGAGGAAGAAAGGTTATCTAGAACAGGGCTTTTCAACCAGTGGTACGGGTACCACCTGTGGTACATTGGCACCTGGCAGGTGGTACGCGACCATCCTAGAAAAGTGGTAGCAGGGGAGGGGAATGAGCTGAACCGGTGGCAGCACCGCACAAGCCTGAGCGAGAGATGGCTGGAGCTGCAGGCTGTCAGGGCTCAGCAGAAGCACCAGGATCAGCGCTTCTTCGGGACTGTCAGGGCTCAGTGGAAGCGCCAGGATCAGCGCCAGGCTCCAGTTGGAGCTCGGCGCTGATCCTGGCGCTCATGCTGAGCCCAGAAGAAGTGCCAATCAGCTGGAATGTTGCAGCATCTCCAGGGTCTTGTGATTTACATTCAGATGCTTGGCAACTGATTCATATTTATGACGGTCACAGTGTCCCAGGGTCATGTGAAGTGACCAAAACTGCTGCAACTACCCAGCAGATGGGGGGAATAAAAACCAAACACCCCCCCATCTCCGCTGCCAATCCTCAACAGAAATGCTCACAACAATAAAAACCTCAGACAGGAGGGAGAGCGTGGCCGGGCGGGCATACGGGTGTCTTGCTTGGCTGTGGCTTGGGGAGCACTTTTTTCAGTGCCATTGTAACTTCAAATAGTCACTAAGCGAACTATTGTAAGTCGAGGACTACCTGTACTTTATCACTTTTTTCCTTTTTGGGGGGGGGGTCATCAGGTTTTTGACACCTTGCTAGGCGACTGGTGGTACTCGAATACTGCCATATCCTAAAAGTGGTACAATGGGTGAAAAGGTTGAAAAGCCCTGATCTAGATAGCCCAGATCTAGCATCCCCAATAAGCTGCCTTAGTAGTATTTGTATTCCATCTTTATTATTTTTACAAACATATCCAACACACCTTCCTCCTACAATTTCCCCACAAGTATGTCAGAAATAAGCAGGGAGGAAAAAGAAAAAGAGATCCACTTTGATGTAACAATTAAAGCACCACACTACAAATTGAGTTGTGTACTGCTTTTGGCATGAAGCCAGTTGGGTAACTATGGCCCTAGGGAGAAGGCAATGGCATACCACATCTGGAAATCCCCGCCAAGAAAACTGCAGGGACTTTTCACAGCAGTCACTGGAATCAGCATTGATTTAAAAGCACACACAATAAAAGTGGGAAGAAAACCCTGTCAAGATACATATGCAAGACAAAGATAATGCAATTCCAATGGACACGTTTACTCAGGGTTAAACTAAACCAAACTGCTTAGCTTCATATGACACTATAAAACATAAACTAACTACACATATGGGAGTTTCACAGAACATATTAGGCTAAAATTCTATCAGCTGCTTTGTGACTCAGATGCTGTAGATACATAACACATATCAACACTATATCTTTTGCATTGAAAGCTCCAAAGAAAAATATATATGGATGTTATTTTCAGTTCCATAAAATAAACAAAAAGGAAATTGAGCTATCAGTAGCAAGGTGGATATATTCAGTTACAATGGGCATGTGTGCACCACTGGAAGACCTGAAAAAATAAGTTATAAGTTACATTATCATGAAAAAAAAAATGAAGCTGCAAGGAGTCAAAAACGACCTGATGGCACATAATGAATCAAATTAAACTCGATATCTGGAAACAGCCTTGGTTTTTAGCAGGATCTGGTTCCCAATGCACAATTTCACTAAATAAACACATAACCAATATAAAAACCAATCTCATCTACCAATTCATTGTACACATTAACACCAATCAAATCAGTTTCCATTTGAAAAACTTCATCGCTCAACGGAAGGGGCAGTGTTTATACAACATGGTAATCTATGTTATTTCAGATACCACCATTGGGGAACTACCGGCACCATATCTGGGCTGCAAAAATCCCGACAATCACTAAGCGGCAGTAAAGGCATGAAGATTTCTCTAGCTTTCTGCCGCCCTGTGGCCGTCGGCGTTTTGTAGGCAAATGCAGCAACCTACCACACCTGATTGTCGTTGCACAATCCACTATACCAAACATTTTTAAAAATCACATATGCCCTTTGGTTTTGGGTTTTGCGCTAGCCCGCCGCCGGCAGCAAGGCGGGGCGAGGCGGAGAACGAAGTCGCCCCTCCAAACAAGCTCCTCTCTACCTTTCCCATTACTATACCCACTGCTACTTTCATATACCTGCGAGCTCAAAAATACGGTTTACTCCTCTGTATTCAACCCGCTCTCCTCCCCACCACCCACCCGACTTTTCTCGTTACCGGGAAAAAGGCCCCTAACCTGCAACACGGCCCAGCTGTCCAAGACCGCCTGCACGCCCTGCCTGAAAAGACCACGTGCCTCCTCCCTCGGCGTCGCCATCTCAGCGGCAGGCAGCCGGAAGTCAATCCCAGAATAATCGATTAAACTCGTCTACAAGAGAAAAGTAGACCTAAATAAGCATCTGCAGAGTCAACCAGAGCTTCGGGGTTTTCTCTTCTCAAGTGACCTCAATTTCGAATTTTGTTTTCTACGTGGCAGCTTATACGTACGTATTCCGTGCACAGGGCATTCATTAGGGACTTCAGTGAACGCAAGTGCCTGAAATACTCATCCAAATGTCCACAGTTTGAACGGAAGTGTTTTAAATGTTGAACTTGAACAAGTACTGTAGTAGATCGATCAGGGACTGAACTCTTGCTGATAGTCACGATTCTTAGCCTTAAAGTTTGACCTTTGGTGAGTGAATGGCTTCAAAAACTCAGAAGTACAGTGAATTGAGGAATTAAATAGAAGTTACATTCCTAAAGAGAGTAAGAATCATACACTATTTTTCCGTATAAAATGTGGTTGCCCAGTTTGTGGCTATGTTAATGTGCTGTGCAGCTATGAAGTTACATGGGCGTATTTAGCTGGGTGATTTTTTAAAAAAAAAACTAGTTCAAGTGTAGTTAACAATGGGTTAGCATGCTATGCAACCTTAACCACAGACTTCACTTTACTGAATATTAAACTTACTCCTGAATAAATGCACATACAAATTTTGATTTGTTTCCTTAATTATTGTGTTTGCACAATACTTCTAACCACATATTATATTTTAATCTAAAATGTTGTGTCTACCCTTCTAGTTAGGTTATGGAATCACTGCAAGCAATTCATACAGGTATTAAGCAAACCCAGACAATTGGGTTTAGTTGACCAAGCACATCATACCACAGTAGATAAAATATCGTACCACTGTAGATAAAATATATAATCTTGAAAGACATAACTTAGGAACTACTTTTTAACAAATTTTACTGTGTTGAAAATGAAGAAAATTGCATTAAAATGTTAATGAGAATGATAATACTTTTAAACCAGTGGTTCTCAACCTGTGGGTCGGGACCCCATTTGGGGTCGAATGACCATTTCACGGGGGTCGCCAAACAACGCAGTCTGCCATTTTTTCCCCCTTTTCCTTAGCTGTGCTACTCCCTTTTATTCTATTGGCTTTTGAAAGCCAATAGAATAGACTCTCTTGAATAGAGTCTAATTCTATTGGCTTTCAAAAGCCAATAGGAATTGTCCAGGCTGTCTCTGCCCTGCTGAGCCCGCCAAAAGTCCCATTCTGCAAACGGTGCTGCACCAGTTGAGTAGTCCTTGACTTACGACCGGTTGAGTAGTCCTCGACTTACAACCAGTTGGGGGTCGCAGCATTAAAAAGGTTGAGAACCACTGTTTTAAACTATCAGCACAGCAATCAGTAATAAAAAAGTTTGTGAAAGGTTTGTTGCAGATATATTAGAATCTACTGTATTTAATGCTGGATTAGAACTCCCATCATATCTCAACATGGAGAGTACTAGAATAATGAAAGTCTGCATTAGTTAATTGAATTGCAGTTATTGCCCTGCAGATATCCTACAGTACATTCCTTTCATGCTGGCAGAGGATAATGTGAACTAGAATACAAAAACTCAGAAGACAACAGAATGAGGAAGATTTGTATCAGCTTGACCTCAATACCTGGGAAGATTCTGGAAAAGATAAACAACAAATCAGTGAACACCTAGAGGCAAACAAAGTCATTACTAAAAGCCAGCATGGGTTTGTCAAAAACAGATCATGCCAGACAAATTGTATTGCATTCTTTGACCAAGTGACAAAATTAGTGGATCAGAGAAATGCTGTGGACATAATTTACTTGGACTTCAATAAGGGATTTGATAAAGTAAATCACAACCTACTACTTGATAAGATAGAAAAATGTGGGTTAGACAGCATCACCACCAGATGGATTTGTAGCTGGCTCACCGGCCCTACTCTGCATGTGGTCCTCAATGGAACTGCATCTACATGGAGGGAAGTGTGTAGTGGGGTGCCCCGGGGCTCTGTTCTGGGCCCAGTGCTCTTCAACATCTTCATCAACAATTTGGACGAGGGGATAGATGGGGAACTCATCATATTTGCAGACGACACCAAGCTGGCAGGAATAGCCAACACTCCAGAAGACAGGCTTAAGATACAGGAGGATCTGGACAGACTTGAACACTGGGCGCTATCTAACAAAATTAAATTCAGTGGTGAAAAAAGCAAGGTTCTACATTTAGGCAAGAAAAATCAAATGTACAAGTATAGTATAGGGCAGGGGTAGGCAACCTTGGCTTTTATGACTCGTGGACTTCAACTCCCAGAATTCCTGAGCCAGCACAGCTGGCTCAGGAATTCTGGGAGTTGAAGTCCACGAGTCATAAAAGAGCCAAGGTTGCCTACCCCTGGTATAGGGGGTACCTTGCTCAATAGTAGTAATGGTGAGAGGGATCTCAGAGTCCTAGTGGACAATCACTTAAACATGAGCCAGCAGTGTGCTGCAGCTGCCACGTGAAGATCACATGAAGTATTAATACCACTTTACAATGCCTTGGTAAGGCCCCACTTGGAATACTGCATCCAGTTTTGGTCACCGTGATATAAAAAAGATGTTGAGACTCTAGAAAGAGTACAGAGAAGAGCAACAAAGATGATTAGGGGACTGGAGGCTAAAACATATAAGGAACGGTTGCTGGAATTGGGTATGTCTAGTTTAATGAAGAGAAGGATGAGGAGGGACATGATTACAGTGTTCCAATATCTGAGGGGTTGCCAAAAAGAAGAGGGAATTAAGCTATTTTCCAAAGCGCCTGAAGGCAGGACAAGAAGCAACGGATGGAAACTAATCAAGGAGAGAAGCAACCTAGAACTAAGGAGAAACTTCCTGACAGAACAATTAACCAGTGGTACAACCTGCCTCCAGAAGTGATGAATGCTCCAACACTGGAAGATTTTAAGAAGAGACTGGACAGCCATTTGTCCAAAATGGTATAGGGTTTCCTGCCTGAGCAGGGGGTTGTACTAGATGACTTCCAAGGTCCCTTCCAACATTATTATTATTATGGATCATCGCACAGTCAGCCAGATGTTCAGACTGGATTTGGCATTTTGTCTACCTATCGAGTCCTTACCCAGGACCTGGGATAGGCAGATGTGGATGTTTGATGGTATTACAGATATTATTATTATTGTTGTTGTTGTTGTCTTATTGGGTTCAAAGAAGACACATTGTTGTGCAGTTCATCTGTGGACATGTATGTGGCTCTGCGATCCCAGTCTGCAAGTGCAGAGACTAGCACAATGAGGGCACTGAAAGTCCATTGTTGTAATAACTGTGGGTGTTATACTGTGACACTGCCCACAGTTTTGTATCTGCTTTTGGCTGTGCCTATCTTCAAAGTCAGTGGAGGCTTTGTAGCACAGGACTTGCCCCTGGTTTCTGTCAGCAACCATAGCTTCTAATTCCTTTGGCTAGATGTCATAGTTATGTAGGATTTCCTTCACCTTATCTTTACAGCAGTAGCATGGATGACCTCAAGTGTTCTCCTCAATCTCCAATAGGGAGCAATTGAATAGGCATATGGTGATCATCCATTCTGATGATGTGTCCCAACTACTCATCTGGGCCTTAATAATTAGGAACCCAATGGTGGTGGATTGGATATGATCCAAGATCTCTGGGTGGGAGACATGGTCTCGCCAACAAATGCTAAGGATGGAGCCCAGAGCATGCATGTGAAATTTCTTCAATTGTTTGGTATGTTGATGATACTGAGTCCAGAATTCACATCCATATAGGACAGAAGATATAATCACAGCTCTGTAGATTTTCAGCTTTGTGGAGTTAGGGATGGCTGTGTTGACTGAACACTCTACTGAAGTGCATAACTACCCCAAAGCTGACTGGTCTTGCTGATTCAACAGTCTTCTTTGTTCAAAGAACCCATCGCTTGAGATGATGCTTCTGGAGTATTTGAAGGTGTTTACATTTGTCAGTTGGATATCGTCAAGTGATTTTTGATTCTATAGGGTTGTTATCTGGCATGGTCTAGTAAAGAACTTTAGTTTTGTTCAGGCTTATAGTCAAGCTGAAGAGCATATCAGTGTCTGAGAATTTGTTCAGCATCAACTATAGATCACTGTCTTTTTGTGGCAGAAGCACAGTCATCAGCAAAGAGAGCTTCTTGAATGATTGTATGGAGGCGCTTCATGCGTTCAAGCAGTGAATGTCAAAGAAAGAGTTGTCCAATCAGTATCTGGTATACATTCCCTCCTTTAGACTCTGTACAACATGTAACAGTATGCAAGCGAAGAACAGATTTAACAAGACTGGGGCTAGAACACAGTCCTACTTCACCCCATTAGAAATGGCAAATACAGCTGACATACAGTGAGGGAAATAATTATTTGATCCCCTGCTGATTTGTACGCTTGCCCACTGGCAAAGAAATGATTAGTCTATAATTTTAATAGTAGGCTTATTTTAACAGTGAGAGACAGAATAACAAAAAAATCCAGAAAATGCATTTCAAAAAAGTTATAAATTGATTCAAATTTTAATGAGTGATATCAGTATTTGATCCCCTATTGATCAGCAAGATTTCTGGCTCCCAGGTGTCTTTTATACAGGTAATGAGCTGAGATCAGGAGCATTCTCTTAAAGGGAATGCTCCTAATCTCAGTTTGTTACCTGTATAAAAGATATCTATCCACAGAAGTAATCAATCAGATTCCAAACTTTCCACCATGGCCAAGACCAAAGAGATGTCCAAGGATGTCAGGGACAAGATTGTAGACCTACACAAGGATAGAATGGGCTATAAGACTATCACCAAGCAACTTGATGAGTAGGTGACAACAGTTGGTGCGATTGTTCACAAATGAAAGAAACACAAAATAACTGTCAATCTCCCTTGGTCTGGGACTCCATGCAAGATCTCACTTCGTGGAGTTTCAATAATCATGAGAACAGTGAGGAATCAGCCCAGAACTACACAGGAGAATCTTGTCAATGAAGTCAAGGTAGCTGGAGCCATAGTCACCAAGAAAACAATTGGTAACATACTATGCTGTGAAGGACTGAAATCCTGTAGCACCTGCAAGGTCCCCCTGCTCAAGAAAGCACATGTACAGGCCCGTCTGAAGTTTGCCAATGAACATCTGAATGATTCAGAGGAGAATTGGGTGAAATGCCAATGAACATCTGAATGATTTAGAGGAGAATTGGGTGAAAGTGTTGTGGTCAGATGAGACCAAAATCGAGCTCTTTGGCATCAACTCAACTCGCCATGTTTGGAGGAGGAGGAATGCTGCCTATGACCCCAAGAACATCATTCCCACTGTCAAACATGGAGGTGGAAACATTATGCTTTGGGAATGTTTTTCTGCTAAG